CCTTCCTCATGCCTCCTCCATTCGTGTTGATGTAGTGTCTCAGCCCGTGATTCTCATAAACTATCAATTCATGAAGTGACAGTAAACTCCTGTAAACTCAACCCTGGCTTAACTTGTCACGACCACTTAAAGTTATCATGCTGTTAATATCCTGGCTGCATTTAATTTTGTATTTACTCATACGCCTAACTCGCCATTCCAGATAACTCGTCACTGAGCCATTTACCTCGGAGTGACGCGATATCAAGAGTTTACTGTATTTTCTATTCAAATCAATCGCAAAGTAGCCACAAAATGAAAACAAAATTAAAAATTCACACAGGTTCAGAAACATTTCCAGCTTTTATATTGTAGTGTTACCTTTGTAAAAGTGAAGGGTTGTGCATCAATATACAACATTGTTCTTTGTGACAATCATGCTGAAGTGTTACTTTGTGGTGCTGCATATGCAACTGGAAGGATGGAAACCTATCCTGATCACAAGTTAAATCCCAGTCCGCTATGGAATAAATGAAGTACAGTTCACGAAGATAGTCAAGGAAAAGAGCAGGGTATTAGAATTACAATAGATAGCTTCTGTATGAGGACACAGACACAATGGGTCGAAATAGTCTCCTCTTGAGCTGCAAATGTTCTATAATTCTGTAATGGTGGAAAATGCTAAACTTCAGTAAATGGTATCCTTCAGCACTGGGTGTTCATATTGTCATGGTGTGACTAGTGTCCTTCAAGTTAGCATCATGCCACCATATTATGAAAACTAAAACAAAAGGTGTCTTTATGAACACATCTCAACACATCATCCACAAAATATACAGTCAATTCACTTTACAGTATTTTCTGTGAAGCGCTTTGAGATGTCTCGAAGACATGATAAGGCGCTATATCAAATGCAAGGATTATTATTATTAATATTACTATTATTTCTTTTCATTTCCAGCCAGGAGTCAAGTTGCCATAGACTTGAACTTAATTGTCAATAGAGCCAACTTCACTTCTTTTCAGTCAGCTGGCTAGAAAGCTTTCATTTTCAGAAGCAGCAAAAGTTGGCACTGTTCCATTTTTATCTCAGCCTCTCTCTCCCTCCCCTTTCCCACTGCTTAAATTGGACCTCTTGCTGGTCAGTTACTAACAGGTAACTGACACATCCACAAGTTAAACCATTCCACCCTCCTGGCTGGATGGAGACAAATTAGTTTTGTGAGTAGAAAGGACAGGGTTGCTATATTCCCAATCAGTTCAGAGCCACAGTGTAAATACCTCAGCACTATTGTTACAATAATGTTTTCATTTTCATACGTTCAGCAAAATGTCTTTTACCTGCTTGGAATCATGGACCAGAATGTAATGGTACTGCACACCTCAGGAAAATATTTACAGTTCTTGGATTCTCTTACAAGCCGAGAAGAAATATTCATCCACATCTTTCAGTGGAATTGTTCCAGATAAATTGTTCATTCATTTCATGGCTGTTTGTGGAACATTACTGGCTGCTGCATTTGTCTACAAACACACAGTCACTACAATTGACAGCAATTACCTGTAAAGCACTTTTGAAATGTTGATATTATAATCATTATGTCAAATGCAAGGATTAAGTGCATGAAATGCCTGCTGGCACTCAAAGCTAACAATTTACCTTATGGGGGAAATAGGCTAAGATTTAAAAATATATATGTTTATTGAGATTTTTGGGGGAGCCAAATTAACAAAAAAAATGCTCTTTAATTCCATGCACAATAATGTAGGATAAGAAATTGTTTCTGATCTGTTACCTCTTGTCAAATATATTCATCAATTTCTTCTTAGAATTGAAAAATTACATTTTTTACATCCAGCAATTTCACTAAAAAAACAAATAGCAAGCTGCATGCAGTTACCAGAAAATGGCATTTATATCTCATGGTATGTAATGTATATCATGTGGCTGTACAGTCAAAATAATTTACACCTTGTGATTCCTTATTGCTCAGTATACATTGACCAACACCTATCCAATCTACAGAAAGCAATAATTAAACAAGGGGTAAAAGGGGTTGCTTTGCAGTGGCATGTTATGTTCTTCAATAAACATGTCACCCAACACAGGTGTGGTAAATTCCAGTGTTTCCCCCATGACCATTGCAAATCATCTATTCATTGTTTGTATCCTAACTGGAATGCAAATGCAATGTTTCTTCTTGTGCCATCTATTGTTAACTCCAATGGATTAGTGCAGTAGTTTAGCTGCCGTCTCTTAATGTGAGCTATGCAACCTAAACTGCAATGTAGGGCTAACACTGGATATCTGGTAAACTATACCCTTACAGTCATTCAGTGCTCACAATTACCCTTGTTAGTATTTCTGGTCCCCAAATATCTCCATGCTATAAACTACTGATCAGTGAAGGACTGTGTAGTTTTCATTGGCACAATGACAGAAGTTATTTTAAACAGTCACACAAACACATAAAATAACAAAAGCCCAGCGCTTACTTGTAAAGCCCTACCCCGCCCGCCCACCAGTCTGTAATCCACAAACCATTAAAAACCTACCATGAACATCACCCCCCATATCTCCTGAAATACCTGAGGCTTTCTACACTTAATTCGGCAAAGCTTCCATAATATTCTTCCATTCTCACTGTTGAACTTTGGTTCTTTCTCTTCAAACATCATCTCCAACTCAGTTGTGTAGAAATCATTCTTTCTCATTGAGTTCCCCTTATCTCAGACTGCAACTTAGTCTATACCATCCATTACTGTAATCTCTGTAATCAGTTCTGGAAGAATGTCAGGGATTTACAGAGCTCAGGGAATGTTAACTAGGGCTCAGGAAATGAAACGAACAAGGAAAGCTTCCTGACATGGTGTGCACCAGCAGTGGACTTGGTGGGATGAATGGCCTTTACCAAAGGTAAAATGAGAATGAACGTCGACTCTGTGTGCCCTTCATCGCTTGCGCCTCCTGAGATGTTGAAGCATCTGACACAGCTGAAAATTTTTCTTTCAATTTTTTTCGTTAGGACCACGTTTTTACTGACTTTAGCACAAGATATTACACGATCACAAGAGAGGATCAGAAGAAAGCCCATCAGCTCATCTTTTCAGAACATCCACCCTATCATCCTCCCATCACAGCATCAAGCTGCATTTTCAAACAAGTCCAGTGTCCTGGCCTCAACCACCATTGCTAATAACCCTGTTCCAGAGATGAATTACCCTTTGGGTAAAGAAATGCTTTCTGGGGCCTGTCCGGAAATTGCCCTTTGCAACCCTAAAAGTGGTCCTCTTGTTGTGTCTTGGTACATTCTTTTTGATTCCCTTCCTTGATTTCATTTAAACTGTTATATACACTGTACATATTTACAAGAACCCCTCTGAGACGTGTCTTTTCAAGCCTGAGTTTCAAAGTTTGTCTTATCCTTGAACGCAGAGTCTAACCTAAAGCACTGGAACTTGAAGTACATTTATAAAAAGTGTTGTTTTATATTTCTGTCAACGTAGCTCAAAGAAAAAAGTTATCAAGGCTTCACTCCAACAGGATTTTTCCCCCAAAATTTACAATAATAACAATCAGTTATTTGCCTGCAGGCCTTGTATCCTTCAATAGTAAAGTTTGATTGGACAGAATGAAAGTAATGTGGTCAGTTTACCAGCAACTCTGTGCATACATGGAGGCTCTATAAAAGCAAATGGGTGCACTTGCTGAAGTGCACAGAGGCAGTAAAAGCAAGCAAATACAGCAATCGTTGAAAGTTCTTTAGGCTACCTAAATAATGTCAGTGGTGAAAACTCATCAGTAATGAAGAACCGGTACCAGAAAGAATAGGATTTCTCCAACCGACTGCAATTAAACCTTCTCTAACTGTCAATTCAATCATCACCATTCAAGTCAATGATAACATTTAAGGAGCAAGGCTCACATAGAAAAACATCAGGTTATGTCCAATAATGCTATCAGAAGGTCTACTTGCTTCAGTTTAGTCTGACATAACCATTGTAAGATTGGTTCAGTAGAATGCAGCAGAATTCAATTTTCATGGAATGGAATAAATGCAACAAACCCAAGCAACTTCCTACAGAATGTTCCATCTTAATCAAAACAAGGTTTGTAGACAATTGACGGATCTCGATGCAGACTCCAGAAAGCCTTGCATACCAGAGGAGCTTTGCTGATTAGCAGAAGATAATGGGGAAATACCATATGAAATGAAGCCTTTCAGAAAGAGCTCTACCTGGCTTACAGTCCTGTATTTACAACCCTTCTGTTTTCAGTTCTGGTAACAGCAGCATTGCTGCCGTTAATCACTGATAGTGAGTGAGCTCTGCAGAAGCTCTCTTGGGATTGGTGAAATACTACACAGTTAACTTTAGTGATAATCTACTTTGAACTGACAAAACAAAGCCAACAATCTTAAAAATAAAGCAACGATCCTCATTAGTGACATTAATGCTCTCCCACACATTGCAGTCCATCACTGGCTGAGTACAACAACAATAAATTGTATTTATACAGTGCCTTTCACGTCAGGAGGTCATCCCAAGGCACTGGACAGTCAGGTGTTTGCACCTGAGCTGTGGGTTGGGATCAAAGAGGGGTGAAGGATAAGGGGGGTGGATTAGGGAAAATGGCCGAAGGCACGGTCAAAAAGGAAGGTCTTGAGCTAGGCCTTGAAGGAAGCAAGAAGGGGTGAGACGGTGAGTGGGGGGGGGATTGGGGGCATAAAAGATTAAGGTCCAATTGCCGACAGTGGAACAGGCAGGGTGGGGGACGTGGAGCAGGCCAGTACCTGTAGAGCAAAGGGAATTTTTTGAAAGACAGTTAAGGGTTGAACAAGACACCAAGGTTCCATTCTGGCTCGGTGAGATGGAGTGGCATCCATGAATAGTGATGTTGTCAGCGCCTGAGGTGAGGAGGCACTGACGGGAGCCAAGCAGGAGGACCTCAGACATATCGACATACAACTGTAGGAAACTGGCTCTCATCTAGAACTTGATGTTTGACAGACAATCAGTCAGGACAGCAGTGGTCCTGGAGTTGAAGGTGGAGGACAGAAGAATGAAGATGAAGCTCCGAGGAGAGGCGGCGGAGAAGAATAGAGTGGTCAATAGAGTCAAAGGCAGAACAGAGATCAAGTAGGACGAGGAGACAGAGGGAGCCCTGGCCACAAATTGCTCACAGCTGCCGTTGTCATTCTTTTTTTAAAAAACTCAACAGCCATCATCGATTTACTTCTCTCTCCTCATAAGCCGCAGATTCATTGGCGAAACATTAAAAATAAGTCACATTCATGAATTCAAGCCAGCAGTCAGCAGTGTCTGGGGTGTCATTTATTCTGCATTTGAGATATAATGCAACGTCTCAAGATTTAGAGAGGCAGAGTACTGAGAATACTGATTTCTTGGAGAAATACTGGCCAGGGAACTAAGGTTACTATTAGTATCTTAGCAATCTTTACCTGTCATCGGAGTTAGCAGGAAAGACCTGACATTAATGTATCGGCAACAGTGATAAGACTACACTGTTCATTTCAAAATATACTCTAGCTGCGCTTCACACAATGAGCCTCATCAATAATAGAAAGTTGCAACTGCTCTTTCATTTCCATCATAGAAATGGCATCAAGTGAGGTACTTATCTGCTGCACTCATGTGCAGAACGAATTGCTGCAATCCATCATTACTGGTGCAGTATGAACCCAAATCTGCATTACTATAATTGCTTGGGTTCATGGATGACAGGCAGCACAGATATTCAATGGGCTTTGCAGAGGCTTTTTAAGATACTGTGAATCCAGCCAAATATTTAACGTGGTCCCAGAATGGATGGCGGTTTCAAGGTTGCAAGACAGCAAATTAATGCGCGGGGAGTGGTGGAGGTTGGGGGTTGGGGTTACTAACCACTTGGTGGGAGAATTAATGTCTGCTACTTCGTTACTGACCCGCACATAAACAAATGAATGAATAGTACTGAATGAATAGTTGAGCCACACCCCTATATTGGTTGATCGTTTACAATAACACCTTCTTCCTGGATCCGAAACTGTTGTTCCATCACAGCCCCAATTTTTTTTTCTTTTCCTTGTTCTGGCCTGAGCCAGTTTTAACCCAATAGCAATGTGGATTCAAGAGATTTACTTTGTTTTTGTGGAGTTGGGCAGTCTCGTGTTACAAGGTTAGCATGCGTGTGTGCTTTGACAAGTGCTGGGCTCTAGAGAGCTGAGATGAGAAACTCTGCAGCTTTATTAGAGTTGGGTTGGTGTTCTGCTGGAGTTGAAGTTCTCAACTTTGTATCCATAGTCAGGCACTCCTGGCTGCTCATGCACGTTGGAGTAATGTCCATGAGTTCTCCCGACGAACTGAACGGAAAAGACGGAGATACTGAGATCCCAGATGAGGTCCCGGCATCCGTTGACCCTGCAAACAGACGGGGTGGTTTTGGCACTAGGTTGGGTTCAAACTGTGCCCGCGCCAGGATCTCATGTTCACTGACTGATTTGGGAATCTCGTTATAGTCTTCTAAACTATCATCGAGTACCATATGATAAATGTCCTGGAAGGAGCTGCTTTTCCCGTCCAGATTGAAGAGACTATCTATAAATTCTGCAAATTCAAGGACTTGTGGACTGGGTGCTTCCCGCAAGCTTTCCTTACTGTCGTCTTCCATTGGCAACTTATCCAACAAACTATCTGCATCCACTGTGGCTTCATTGTCCTCCTCACTCTCCACCAGCAGGTGACTGGGCAGAGAGTAACAGCTGTTATGCAGAGGCTCAGGATGCTGGACCTCCTGGGAATGTTTAGATAAGCTGTCTGCCGCAAGCAGCTCAGTCCGTGAGCTGAGGGAAGGATTCTCCTCTGGAATTGCCGGATCAATGTAGAAACAGTGTGACTCGTCCTTCTCCATTACGACATGCAGACTGGGAGAACCTCGAATGCTGCGGAATCCAGAGGAGCGCCGCGAGTCAAAGCTGTAGTTGGACTCGTTGTCAGAAAGACTTTCCATCATGGCGAGGGGAGCCCTGCGCTCCTCTACCTCATTCGCCAGCCGTTCTTTTGTGTTCATCAGAAGCAACTCGACTGGGTCCTTTTGGCAGAGGATGTTCGGGTTTCTCTGGTAAAGGGCTTCAAAGCTCAGTTCAGAATTTGACTTAGTCCTGAAAGAAAGAATAAAACAGTAAAGAATAAGTATTCAATCAAAGCATTTAAAATACAAGCTTGACGGTAAAATATTTAATCAGTAACCTACATTTTAAAAAAATTTTGGTCAACGACCCGCATGTTAAAGTAACACAGAATGACCGTCAAGTAGGAGTTCAAATGTAAGAAAGGGGAATAGTGTGTATATTATGGTGGTCAGATATTCCAATCTACTTATGTTGCCATTAATATTCTTTACCTTTGGATATAAGAAAAGATTCTAACTACCTGTTTGCAGCATGTCATTCATTCCTCTGTAGTACTTATCTTATTAAGTCCTCCCGACGTGAAAGGCGCTATACAAATGTAATCTTGTTCTTGTATTAAAACTGAGCCAGATTTAAAATCTTACAGACTGGGACAATCTCGCTCACTGTAAAATCACTTGTTGCTCCTGCAGTAGCTTGGTTTAAAGTCAAGCGTGATTAACCTTCACTGACTCTTCAAATACGGTCACTTATGTATGCTATGAAGAGGTCAGCGCCTTGGGACGTCCTCCATACATGAAAGGCACTATATAAATGCAATTTGTTATTGTTATTGTCCCAGCACAAACCCCATTGTTTGGTTACTGCACTCGGGGCTATTCTGTATCCTCTACATCTCAGAGACTTCCCAACAAGTTTTGTTTGGATTTGGCCAAGCTATCTCATATTCAATGGTTGCTTCCTTTACATGCAGCTATAATGTGATGCTTTGAGCAGTAACTGCACAAGCCGCTAGGACTTCTAAGTAATATCATGTTTTAAACACAATATTGCCCTTCAAATTAGGAACCCTATTAATCTGCTTGACAGGAAGCTTGAAAGACACTACTCTTAACGGTAAACCATGCATTTAACTGGTTAAACTCTAGCAGCATCCCCAATGCACAGTCTGGGATGACCAAACCTTGCATTGCTATTCTCTAGAATTAGGAAAAGCAGGGTTCAGCCCTCCAGGGAGAGAGTGTGCATTGGATTCCAGACACAGAGAAATCTCCACGCACAGATGGCATACATACGTGGAGCTCTCTGACTGGTTAAGATACTCTTAAGCATGGTGATGTGTCTCCTCATGTGTTAGGCGCCTAGCTGACAAAATATCTACTACATTAGACTTCAGATGGATCTGTGGTGGTTAAAAATGGAATCAGTGGGTCAGGAACCCTGGCTGTGTTATTTTATCACACACTGAAGAAGCAATTTGAAGCACTCAGACTGCAATGCTGCTTCAGAATAGTTAACTCGGCATAGAACAGGGATCAAACCTGGGAACATTTTTCTCAGTGCATTAACCGCTCGGATTCAGATTATAATTTGATTTCCTTTGCCCTTATCATCTCCCTTACACATCACACCATTCGGCAGTCAAGGGAGGTTGGTTGCAAGAGTCTGGTGCCTTCCCTGGCAATGTTCCCTATTTTTCATGGCTGATGATCATTATCCAGTTACTAGAAGTGACCCAACTAGCTGATAGGGTGGTAAAACATGGAAAACAAATACAACTTTCATTATTAATGATACATAGTGAAATTAAAATAAAATACCAGCCACTGCCCACTATTAGAAGTAGTCTCACTTTACAGCTAAGCATACATTCTACTGCTGAAATCTACTTCCAATAATATAGCAACAAGCCTACCTATAATTGCAATTTTATTTTTGCCTGCATAACAGGTCAGAGAGCAGCCGCTGCTGGGGGAAAGGCCGCTGATATCCGTCTATGTACAGCTTTCCCTCAATAACTAAAGAACTGTCCTTACGAAGCTCGTGATTGTACTTTTTTACTCTGATGGAGATAAGAGAAAACATTATGCTGATATAAATTAAGTTTGAAAACAGATATTCCCTACAATTCTTATTTTTCTATGACCTACAGCATCTATTAATCAAAGTAAAAAGCATTTATTAATGAAAGCTCACTAACTAAAATGAGTAAAAGGCAAAATTAAGTAATACATTTCCTCTTTGGGAGGAACTCTGTGCTTCATTTTCACTACACTATCGGCTAATATTTATTATGCTAACAGGCAGAACATGTTAAACAAATTATTCTAATTGAATCTAATTAGCAAAATTTGACTGTAGAATTTGGAAACAGATTTCTCAGCGATTTGGCACTCATACTGATACCCTGATGGAACACATAACTGAATGCTAATTTCCAGACAGATCAGATTAATTGCAAACCCAGTTTTCAGCTGGAACCTCTCACCAGCCACAGGAAGCCTGCAGGGATTTCCTGGTACCTGTCATCCACTTAATGAGGCTCAAACCCATGCTTGTCAGGTGTTAAATGACCAAGTAGTTACTAGCCTCCTTGGGGGTTGGTAAGAGGGGTCTCCTTGGAGTAAAATTGGCTCCAATGTTACATGTTTGGGAACAGAATGTCAGAATTGAGCCCACTTTCTGTGGCAGTCTCGGTAGTCCAGTTCCTGAGCCAGGCAGGTCCACATTAACTCGAGGGCACTGCTGATGACAGCACCAGCCAGCCTGGTTCATCAGCAGGATATGGTTGAACAGATCATTCACTGGGGGCAGGGAATCCTCTCTCTCAGCTCCTGTTAACCCTGCAAGCCAAAGCTCTAATGGTTAGGGCTTTACTAGCTGGACGAGCAGTGGGAAGCTTGCCAGATAGTGCTCTCAAAGGTAAGCTGTGCGGTTTTAGCTGGTTAGAGCAGCAGTTATCACCAAAACACACACTGTGGTCACCAAGCCTTGGCTCTTGCCAACCTGTGCCTAATACTTTCCTGAATTAGGAATCTCTCCAAAAAGATCTTATGGAATTTACACGTATTAGAACTCTGGTTTGGTTGCTCTTAAGCACGGTGATGGGTTTCCGCGTGTGTCAGACACCAGGCTGGCTGACCAAAACAAAACCAGCTCCAACCTGTACATGTACTAACATGTTTTGTACGGATAGTATTGTAGATTTCCAAATTATTGAAGAACTATTTTTCATGCTTGCATGTGCGCTATGTTGTATTAGCAATATCTATACCAACCCACAGTTCTCTGTATAGATAATGGTGAAATATGTGCCTGAAAGTGTTGCTCAACATTACAAAGTTCACCAACAGAACGAAACAGTGACGCACGGAACTCCACCAAGCACTTGTTCTTTTGAGTGCGACAGGTCATGAAAAAGACACGACAGTGAGTCGCTGGCCACGTTCTGACCAAGTGCTGTGATGCAGTGCACTCCCATGTGCTGGACCATAAAGTGCTAGGGCACAGGTTCCCTGCCTGCAGAGGTCAGTCACTCTGATTAGTCAGGAGACAGTGGTTTGGGTTTGTTCCTTCTCTTCATTTCTTTGGTCCCCGATACCATGTCTCTATTCTACGCAAGTCAGTCCAATTGCACCCAGAGAAAACCTGCTGTCCAAGTACTAATAGGGAGGTGCAAACCTGTCTCCTCCCATCTGTGGTACACAATACCTTACCACCCTGTCCCTGCACATAAGTTAACCTGGATGATTCCCCACCTCCGCAGGCAAAGCAGTACATAAAAAAGCAAAGCCTCAGGAAGCAAAGGGGTTGGAGGAGGAAAAGTATATTAAAAAAAACTTCAAGATGAAAGCACACGGTACAGAAGAATACACATCAATAAGCCATTGTTAAGTCAATATAACCCTCGCCTGACAGAGACCCAAGTGTAACAGGGATCTGAGGCACAGTTGTCTCCGCCTTTCTGAAAATCCTATTTGGGGTTTGAGAGGCATCACTTAGGCTATTTTTTTAATAATAATCATCCTTACATTTCTTACCATGTCACGAGGACATTTCAAAGAGATTCACAGGATGTACTGTGAAGTGGAGTTACTGTGGTATTTGTAGGTAAACATGGCAGCCCATTTGCACCCCCAGCAGAGTCCCACAAACAACCATGATAGAAATAACCAATTATTTATCTGGAGGAGTGCTGGCCAGGACACTGGGTGAAACCGCCTTCACTTTTCAAATACTGCCATGGGATCTTCAACTTCCCCTTGAACAGGCAGATGGGACCTCAGTTTAACATATTCTAATGATATTAAGATAGCCATTACTGATGTGCACCTTCTACTATCGTGTTTTACTGTTCCCTTACTTCATGCCGCTATTCCTTTTGTGGTCTCCTTGGCCTAAGGACTGAGGCTGCTGTTGGGTAATCATGTCAGGGTTCAAGTCCACTTCAGTTGGGCTGACCATGATCATGGCTGCTCCCAGCAATGCTGTCTTCCCCTTGTTGTAATTCTCCAGGACCTGGATTGGAAATGAATGGAAACCATAAATTGCGGCATTCTGTCAAATTAAACAGCAGCGCACCCATGTATGGTATGTAAATAAACAATACACGTACATTGGTGATTGTGTGGGGTTAGCAGTTGCCTAACTATTCTTTCAGTTCTGTGGCTTGTGTTTGACTGATTCAATATAGGTTTCATCTTTGTGTTAGCTGTAAGGGTCCAACATGAAACAGCTTTGGATCATGTCAACTAGCAAGCTCACAGCAGCAAACTGGCAAATTCACTCCAGGTTCAAAGGGGGGGAAGGGTGGGGGGAAATAGAATTATCAGTGACAGGAGGTTCTTCCAAGGTTGGCAAGTTGTTGGGAGACAGCAGCTGAAGGCATTAAAAATTGAATAAAATGAAGCAGGGTGCATGCACGTTTAGCAAAACACCCTTTCAAAGCATTCTTGTGAAACTTTCCACATTTGATAGTTTTGTCAAACAAACTTTCAAACATTGAAATGTTTTCAAGAACTGTGCTTAACAGAATTATCCCTAAATACCCTCCCACGAAAGCCTTGTCTCGCTTCCATTTGGCAAACTAATCGATGCAATAAATGTTGCGAGAAGCCAGAGCATTCTGAACATTAGCGCTTTCCACTTGATTTCTGTGACCTGACTGCAGAGATAAACTTAAAAAGTGAGTGCAATTTTCCCAACACTCACTATTAAACCCACGCACTCAGAAAGTAATCGATGATGCCAGTCAAAGTCTGGATGTTTTATTACCTTTCATTTGTCTAACCATTACAGCTGAGAAATAGAATCTGAAGCTGTTAATATTACTCCAGGAAACAGAAGGCCTCTCACTAAAATAATGCAGATGTGGTTATAACTTCTATTAGAATGTAATTAAGGTGAATGACAGCTGCTTGTGTGGTAGTTAGCCTCATCCAAACAGAATGATGTGTTGCTAGATAAAGCTGAAAGTGTAGTTGTCAATCGTGGTTTACAGTGCAGCATTATATAGCATCGCATCATTCTATTAATTTAACCAATTACCTCTGATAATTGACAGGGCTTGTTCTGCCTCGCAGGTTGAATTTGGTATTGTCATTAGGGGAAAAGACGTTTAGCAAATACCTTGTGAAGTCCATCCATAACAACGTGAGGCATGTGCTCATTCAGCATGGCAGGAGAGATGATGACTTCATCCAACGTCTTGTTGTCACTCCAAATTGCGTAGTATGTCGGCTCTTCCTGTCCACAGCAGCTGTCCATAACAATACAACCAGTGAGCAAACAGGACCAAAAGAACAGTCGGCACAAGGAAAGGCCATTCAACCCATCTAATCCTCCACGTCTACTCTATACTGGATTTATTCCCATTTCCCAGACCATCGAATCTGGGGCAAGGAACCTTCTCCATAAATAATCTTTAATCCCAAATCTGATTAAAATGAAGTGGATCATCCCCACATATACACTGCTCCCCTTCACAGACAAATGAACACATTCTGATGAAGGGTGCTACTCAAAATGTTAACCTCTTTCAAGATGCTGGTTGAACTTGTGTTCATCCCCAGAATTTGTCTCGATCTCTGCAGTTCTATCTCTACATTCGTACAATGACAATCTATAGAGATGAGGACAGATCACAAACATAGCAGGGGACAAACAGAGGGCGGTTGGACAGTGATCAACTATATTGTAGATGCGTACCAATTTTCCTCTGGGTGGTTGTGAACCACGTGAATAATTCGGCCAGGTGGGTACAGTGGGACACTGGCAGAAAGAGCAATAGTTAGATCACTAGGGTAGGCCCATTGCCGATTATTCTGAACACTTGTCTCCTCTACATCTTCTGGCAGTTCAGATTTAGGAATACACCTGGTGCCACCCACGATAATTCTCCACTGAAAGAAAACAAAAAGTATTATTATAATATCCTGTAATTATCTAAGACAATTTTATTCAGCGTTTACAATGCTTGGCACTGTTTCTAAAGAGGTGAGTGAGATACGTTTAATGTTAGCAACAGAATTACTGCAGGTTTTCCCAGAAATTAAAATGGTAAATACCATGAGCCGAATGTTTTAAAAACAGATGCTGTGTAATGAACAGGGTAAATCGCAAGAGTAAGAAAGGTCAGCTTTCCAGATGTGTCCCTCAAGATTCAGAGGTGATAAATTCTGCAGTTCTAAATGGACTTTAACCGTTGTAACTTTTGAAAAAGTAATTAGAAAGTAACAGAGGAAAGAGTTTCAGTGTAATGGTAATTCATCAATCTTCATTGGATTAGGAATGGGAGATTTACCTTAGGTTTATTGCTCTTCTGTAATACTTCCAGCAGGTGTCTTCTGAAGCCCTCCAGCTGGGATAGACCAATTCTAATTAGAAAGAAAACAAACATACATTTTATTGTGTTTTCTCAGGTCAAATGGTCTCAAAGTGCAAAGTAATTACTGTTATCTATAAAAAGGAAGGAAGCGACTTTGTCTGTAAGCAAAATGGCAGCCAATTGCCCCAACAAGTTCCCACAAGCAGCCATAAAGTGAATAACTAAAGTGAATTGACTGTACATTCTGTGGGCAAACCGCAGCAGCTAATTGCGTACAGTAGTGTCATACTATTTAATTTTGTTCTGAGAGGAGGGGAACACGAAAGAGGAGGAAAAGCAATCAAAAGGATTTAAAATAACATGTCTTATTCCCCCAAAGTGGAAACACTGGCAATAAACTGAAGTTCCTCCTATCTGTTATCTTCAAAAGATAAATACAATTGTACAAATACAGCCACTAAGTTGAGAACAGGAGGCTAGACCTGTGAAGTGTGAATTTAACTAAGAAACGTCCACTTGTATACAGTCATAAACTATTTACTCAAGAGTACAGTTTACAATAAGAATCGTGTTGGTAAGCAATGGACTCGAATACGATTTCATAATTTACCTTGGTACCAGGTCTTTTCCCAAAACAACAGCCGTCACAAATTCCTTGGAGTATTCCATTGCATCATCACTAAAGAATTAAGAGATTACGTGAGGAATCAGCAAAGATCAGTTGAACAGCACAAAGCTGACCGTGCTGGTGTGGCTATGATGGAGGATAGTTGGAATCTAGCGTTAATATTTAATGTTAACGTGTATTCGTCACCTCAAGGTTCAACTACGGAAACTCCCTCTTGTCGGCCTCCCCAACTTTTCCTCCACAAGTTCCCCCAGAACTCTGTAGCTCGTGTCCACTCCCGCACCAGGCTCCGTGACCCCATCACCCCCACCCTCGCCCAGCTCCACTGGCTCCCCATCCCTCAGAGGGTGGAATTCAAAATCCTCGTCCTCACTTCCAAGGCCCTCCAAGGCCCTCCATGGCCTTGCCCTCTCCTATCTCTCTGACCTGCTGACCCCCTACCAACCTGTCCACTCCCTCCATTCTCCAACCTGCTCCATATCTCCCGCCCGACCTGTCCTACCATCGCCGGCTGGGCTATAAGGTAGAGACGGGACAGTGAAGATTAACTACAATTGACTGGACGATCAAGAGATATATGGAACTTGCACCCAACAATACATGATACCATCTCAATCTCCATCTTTGTTTCACTTTCTTCTACCTCAGTTTTTCTGCTCAGCTCTTTCCTGTCTCTTTAGATCATTCTTTATTCTTCGCTTGTTTCAGTTCAAATCAGTAACATAGATCTGTAACAATATCAGCAGTTGCAGAATCTCTTGAATAGTACTGCAGGGTTTTTTCAAACCAAATAATGAATCATCATCATGAGGGGAAAATGTGAGAAAAAAAAGCTGCTGCTTTCTACATTCTCCTTCAGATCTCTGCTACACATACTCAGCCTGGAGGAACTTAAACAAATATAAAACAGAAAATTTATCAGGTTGTTTTCCCTTGTTGATTCATTTGCATGAAGCAATTTACAGCTTGGAATGAAATGATCAGAGAAACGACAGGAGTTAAATCTAGCTTTAGGCCAGGCTGGTGTTTGTGTGCAAACATAATAAAATGCTTGATAGGAACTTCATTACTGCAAAATCGTTCCTTTGAATAAAATGTTTTTGATTCAAAAAAAAGAAATGGATTCCAACAGCAACAGCAACTTGCACTTATATAGGGGCCATTCACACCGGATGGCATCTCAAATCCCTCTTTTGACAAACTGAGTGCGTACGGCACAATGATACAGCAATGAGAGACTTTCCCTTTCAAGTGTTTCCTTCAAGTTTGATGCCCCAATTACAACTGCCTCAATTCAACGGAGAGATTTCTCATTGGAGAGTTGTAGAAGTTCAAATGTTGGTTCAGTTAACCATATCCATTTTTTAGCCAATATTCCCTTTAAGTGGCTACAACCATACCTAACCTCCGATCACAGAAACCTCTGACAGAGCCAAAGAGACAGAGCCATCAAAACATTGTTCCCTATTGTGGATGGAACAGCACGGTTCCTTTGTAACTCTAGTAAATATGGAGGTTTTTTTTTATAACCCGATTTATTAGAGTCTGTGTACAGCAGTTAATGTTTGGTGCTACCGTGTGCAACTTCACAAAGTTGTACTTACCTGAGGAGTCCTCCAGGGGGAGAGTAGGCAAAGCACTGGAGAGTAGGGTAGTGGGGTCTGAGCAGGAAGGAGAGAATAGCTGCCGTTCCTGCTCCCAAAGAATGTCCGACCACCACTAATCCATAATGTTTGGTCCCTTTGCCCTGTAGGTTTATATGAGAGGGATAAGAAACAAAGGTAATATATGTCAGTCTTTCCTGATTGCTCTTTGCTGGCAAGTGATGTTAGACGTTCTGAGGGAGTTGCAAGCAGTTGTTTCACTGACAAAATGCAGTCACTGCACGTTACAGCGTACACTTTGTGAAACACTTTCAGGCATCCTCCTAACATTAGAAAGTGCGACATCAATTGCAAGGATCATTATGATTTTACTTATCTAGCGGTACCACAATGCCACGAGAGGAACTCGTCCTGTTTAAAACATTAATTAAACTGCTGGACAGGTTACATGCTGGAAGAAATGAAAGTTCGACTCGAGTACAGAGATTCAGAGCGAGAAGATCGATTTAGAATGAATGCCCTTCCCAATCACCGTCACCGCAGGTTGACGATACTCAACACAGATACACAGCTCCGAGCCCTCATACACAGATCATCATTAAACAGCCTCAGTTCTTTGATGTGATTGCCGCATGACTGATCTTCAATAACATTTGTCACAACAATCATCAGGTGTCAGCCTGGCTCAGCTGGTAGTGTTTTTGCTTTGGAGTCAGAAGTTTGTGGGTTCAAATTGGCGCTTGGAGCTCATAGTTTAGGGTGACACTCCAATACAGCACTGAGGGTGTTCCTCACTCTTATCTCCAGACACTCTCACCGTTTCCTACCTCTGTGGCCTTTTCCAGCTCACCCCGTCCACTCAGCAAACTCAAGTCTGTTGCATGTTTCTCACCCCCTCACTACACCATGGACAGACAAGCCTTCAACTGTTACACCCCTGGCCTCTGGAATTTTCTCCCTAATCTGTTTTTAAAATCTTCCTGAAAACCTACCTCTTGAACTCTGCCTAGATTTATCTGCCTCTTTCCCCACTCTCTGGTCTGCAGTGTCCTGTAAAGTGCTTCAAGACGTTAGCCCCTGTTGTGATCCCGCTTCATAACTAAAATTGTGAATATATGTTAACCCCCATGTAGTCGAAATAATTATTTTAATCAATGGTTAGAAATGCTCATGATGAATAGACACCATTTTGATTCATGGTTAAAAATGATGATGTAACTAGAAAAATGTCAAGATGACTTGTTATTGTAGCTAATGATTGTTGAAGATGTTCGTCCATAACAAATTCATGTTTTAATTAGTGTTGTGTTAACGATGAGGTAATTGAAGAGATTTTCCCATAACAAACTCATGTCTTAATCAGTGTTGTGTTAAAGAGTTCCATAGCAAATCTGCAGGAGTAATAACAATTCTGCAGATTGTATTTTATTATTCTTTTCATGTGAGATAATTGCTTCATGGACGTGAGAAAGGAAAGATTGTTTAATCTCATCCTGCCTGTGGAAAATCGATTGTAAAAGGTGTAATCCCGAACTATAATTTGTTCAGCCTGGGACAAGGCGTATCAGTTGCTGTCCACACAACAGCTATCTTTCATGTGATGATATGAAGCGGTGAAACGAATGCGTTGTCTTCAGGGTTAAAATCCAGCAGATGTAGACTGTTTCCATCGTTTCATCAATTTTCGTTAACTCAATTTCAAGCAATTTCAGGAAGAAGGAAATTGCAGAAATTCCAGAACTTCTAAAATCGATTGAAAGTTACGGGAGGAGGTGAATAACAATGTTTAACAACTGTCGAAGAAACCGCAGGGCTCAGCTGTTCATCATCAACTTTGACTTTGTGATCAATATAACCAAGCAAGAGGTTTCAGGTCTGAAGTAAAAGACTTTGTCTGATGCAAGAGTTTTGCTGCTGTTTGTGAATTTACCAACTGACTTTGATACGGACAATTGTCTACGCTAGTCACCTGTCTGTTGTATTTGTGACAATTGAACTAACAAACTTTACATTTCTTATTAAGTAAAGAATTTTCAAGACATGAGTTGCTGAGTGTCTTTCGATTTCAAGAGCCTCACCCTTGTATTCAAGTCCCTGCAATCCTTTGCACCCCCCGACCTCTCTGACCTCCTCTCTCCTCACAACAGTGCCCATTGCCTTCGCTCCACCGGGTCAGGCCTCCTCATTGTCCCACGAATCCTCCGCTCCACCATCGGCGGCCGTGCCTTCAGCAACTACACCCCAAGGCTCTGGAACTCTCTTCATCACTCCCTTCGCCTCACCCCCTCTCTTCCTATTTTCAGATCTCGGCTAAAGACCTTTCTTTTCGACCGCGCCTTTGGTCACCTTCCTCCCCTCCCCCTGGCTCGGTCCCGGGATCCGTTACTGTGAAGGGCTCTGAGAGGCCGTCCGGCGTGGAGGGCGCTATATAAATCCAAGTTGTTGTTGTTTTGGTTCCTCTGTTCTCGGGTCCTTAACTGAAGGAAGACTATAAAGAATAAGCTGGTCTTATTCTGCTCATTGCCCAGAACCCAACATCCCTAAGCACTATATACATAATAATAATCCTTGCATTTGATATAGCACCTCATCACATCTTCGAGACATCTCAAAGCGCTTCACAGAATATACTATAAAGTGAATTGACTGTATATTTTGTGACAAATTGTTGTTGAGTCAGCACTTTCAGAGACGTTAGCCTAAGCACCATATAAACTCAAATTGTTGTTGATTCAGGAGAGGGCAAAACAAAGCTGCATGAGAACATTTTGGAACTCGAAGCTTGTATTAAAAGTACACGGATTCCTGTTTACTAAAAGCGGCAAAATAACTAATCTGTAAACATAAGGAATCACAGTATAGTATTCTAGGAAAGTGAAGAACATCAGTGGTAACATACCAGGTCTCGGCCAAATGCTTGGGATAGAATCATCTCCTGTTCCAGCTTCTTCTTAATGTACTCAGCAGACAGCACCATGCCCTGTAAAGTGACCATCAGTTATACTGAAAAAGTTTTCACTTTTAGCCACAGGTTTACATCAGAAACTGGTTGCGTGACACGACATGACAAATTATAACAACTTCTTTTATTATCATGCCTTCCATGGAAAGGAGAGCAAAGATAATTCAACACTTTGGATGAAAGGCATGGACAAGAAGATATGTTTTTAAGAGGGTTTTGAAGGCAGGGGGGAGAGAATGCAAAAGATAAATGGATTCGGGGATATTCGGGGATGTCACTGACAGCGGATTGTTTATGTTGAATAAAATAGCATTTAAAATAGAGAAAAACACTAGACCCACTGAATGGAGCAATAATAATAATAATAATAATCCTTGCATTTGATATAGCGCCTTATCACGTCTTCGAGACGTCTCAAAGTGCTTCGCAGGATATACTGTAAAGTGGATTAACTGTGTATTTTGTGGGTGAAATGCGGCAGCCAATTGTGCAATTTGAAACTGCACTGAATAACTAATTCTAATAGATCAGACCGGGTACAGGTAGACACCTCAAGTTTGAGGGGATTAACTGCTTCAAGAGTGACCTTTCCGTGAAATACTGAAAAATTTGTGTTATCCGTGCTGGTAAATGCAATAGGTTTACCTCGCAGTAAGGAGAGACCCGCTTGTTAGTCGATTGGCGGATCGCTTTCCCGGGGGTAATAATCCCTTCAAAATAAAATTTCAAATTATAATAATAATGTGGTCACTCAATCCGTGACTGTTTTGGGGACATCGCTGTGTGCAATTGGCTGCTGCGTTTCGCCCACAAAACACACAGTCACTCCACTTTACAGTTTGAGACGTCTCGAAGACGTGATAAGGCACTATATCAAATGCAAGGAATGTTATTATTATAATGTATTTGCTTAGGAATACGAATTTAACATTGATCCTGTCAAGTCTGCTCCGTTATTCCAGCATGGCAGATCTTTTAATCCCACTTCCCTGCCTTTTCTCCACATCCCGTAAATACCTTTGCCTCCCAAGTATCCACCTATTTTCCTTTTAAATAACTCAATTAAATCCCCGTCTATGGCTATTTTAAGAAAGGTGTTTACATTCTTGAACCTCACTGTGTGAAGAATGGTTTATTTTTATTCTATTTTAGCTAGGCATGAATCATTCACCATCAAATTTATCTGTCACGTCCTCAGGTACCACTGAAATATCTCTTGTGGCTAAGTGTCGAACATTCAAGAGGGAAGGCATACCCGCATCACACCTCAACAAGGATGCAGAGAAGAATCCAGTTACCTTGTGGCCCAGCCAGGTACCATGGTGCCCCTCCACTGGTAATCGCTCAGCATCTCCTGTCAGGTCAGTCAAGGCATCCTGTCAGTCAAACCACAAACAGATAACAATCAACGTATGTTCACTACGCGCCAGTTCTGAGAGATTAGTTAACGGGAGGAATGCAAACTAGGAAGGACCCAGTTTCGATCTTAAATATGATGGTTTAGATGATTTGTGCCGTTCATTTCGAGTCGTGCCAAGGGATCTTTAACATCCACCTGAACCTGAACAGGACCTCAGTTTAACATCTCATCCGAAGGATGGTATCTCCAATAACATAGCACACCCCAGCACGGTACTTGAGTGTCAACTTAAGACTATGAGTTCCAAGTCCCGACATGGGGCTTGAACCCACAACCTTCTGACCAAATGAGCCAGACTGTCACACTATCCTGATAGAGAGATTAAAAAAAAAGTGAATATGAGTGTCTGGCTATGCATGCATGGATTGGGTGTGTTTGTTTCTAACCATATGTAGAGGCATAAATGTCCAGGCAAAGTGATCTTGAATTAAATATGTCCATTGTAGAGGGTCAGTATGCTAAACACAAGGCCTATTTTAAAGTAACAGCTTGTGCTCTATGTTTATATCATTCCCCCAGAAGATAGGGTTCAAAATCCTCGTCCTCACCTTCAAAGCCCTCCACAGCTTTGCTCCTCCCTACCTCTGTGACCTGTTAACTCATTACCAGCTCTGGCCTGTTCTATGTCCCCTGCCCGGCCTTAAGCACCATCAGCGGCCGGGCCTTCAGCCTCTCTGCCCCCACCCTCTGGAACTCCATCCCACAGTTCCTTCGCCTCCTTCAAGGCCCGTCTCAAGACCCTCCTCTTCAATGACGCCTTCGGTCACCCTCCTAGCCCTACCTTCCTGATCCTGACCCCCAGCTTGGGTCCAAATCCCTGACTGTCCAGTGCCTCGAGACGTCCTCCTGACATGAAAGGGGGTAACAAATGTAATTTGTTGTAGTTGTTATGCTGTTGTACTCCTTGCTATAAAATAGGCCTGATGTTGAAGTCAGTTCTTTGTCACAGAACAGAGATTTGCCACCCAGCAGAAGAGCAATCATCAGCTGCGAGTTATTCCACAGAGAAACAGGCAATGCTGCAACACCTCACCTTCGGTGAAAGTGTTCCCCGGATACTGATCACCACCTTCTTTTTATCATGGTCCACGGCAACATAGAAAGGAGTTTCAAAGACCTGGAAACAGTGATTAAAATGAATTATAACCACGACTAACAGACACAGGTTTATTCCAAAGGGGTGACATTTCCCAACAAAATAAAGAATCTCGTAAGAAGTTCGTAGTCCAGCCCCGGCTTTAACAAACCGCTAGAGTGCATTTATCTCTTTTCACCAGAAGGTGAAAGCTGCAATATAAAATAAATGAGTTCACATTTGCCATTAGATTACGGAATGATTTTCTCACTTTACTTTCTACGCCTGTCAGTGCACGTGGCAGTTCTTGACACACACTGAGCTCATCTCTAGCAGGAATGGAATCACACATCACCTAAGCAGAGCTATCTTTTGAGCTTGCTCAGAATCCAACCAGCAAGTGTAATTCAAAAACAGATTTATACAGTAATACAAATACCTTGGACACAGAATGGAATTAATAAGAATAGAAGTGAATGTTTTTAACAGAGGGAACCCGGAGAAATGTCCTACACGCAAAGCAGCATTTTTGAAGGGAATTTGGAATGCCGAGGGAATATAAGTCACGACAACTAAGAGGAAAACTCCACTTTAAAATAATGGCTGAGTTCCTACACAGTCACCTGAATCACAAGCTAGATAGAGAAGAGTTTGTGATCTCTGTCTATCTAGTTCGATACAATAAACAACACGCTTGTATTTAATGGAGAATGTGGGTCATGTATATAAAAACTCAAGACAGTTCCTGTAAAGCTGTTTTGAGACTGACTAATGGCGTGAAATGTCAAATGCACAGATTATTATTTATCATAATTCATAGGTAATGGATTCAAAACGCCATAAACCATAAGAGCAAATGCAGCTCACTTTGGTTAATAAACTATTCATATAAACCTCGAGACAGCATTGGAGCCAACTCACTCTAGGTGTCATATTCTGACACAGTCATATTCATGGCATCTGCACAAGGTAAGACAGCTATAAACTGAGAGGTGCATTTTTCCATCTTTAACCAATTAACCTGTTACTTCCAATTAATAATTGGAATAATTCAGTATCTCAGCACAATGTGCCGCTGTGCCAGACAAACCGCTCCTTGAATCAGGAATATTGCTGGGGAAGCCATAAGGAATGAAAAAGCACAACAGTGTAGAATGCAGAGGGAAAAATTTAATATAATATAGTAATATAATAATCCTTGCATTTGATATAGCGCCTTATCACGTCTTCAAGACGTCTCAAAACGCTTCACAAAATATATTGTAAAGTGAACTGACTGTATATTTTGTGGGCGAAACACGGTAGACAATTGCATACAGCAGAATCCCACAAACAGTCATGGATTGAAGTGACCAATTTATTATTTTTTTTAAAAGGAACTATCACACCCAAAGGGATGTCTGAAACAGCAGCTGTCAGGGGATATGCATTACAGGCTGTGCTAGAATCTTGGGAGCAGTGAGGATATTTAAGCTAATCAAACTCTGTTCTCCAGTAAATATAACATGATAGCTCCTCGCCTGTATTAGCCTAGTACAGTGCCACCCACTTATCTCGAACCGGTTTATATAGACATCCTATGGATGTCAACAAAAAAACATACAGGAACAGGTTAAATTTACTGTGTATGTCGATGTCGACATAAATTCCAGAATGCTTATAGCCACAAATACTTCCAAGTCCCTCACAGCATTAAGTACTTTGTGTTGTAATCCTTGCATTTGACACAGCGGCGTATGTGTCACATGGTTGAGACGCCTCAAAAGGACTTCACAGAATATACTTAGAATATATTCACTTGTACATCAGTGACCAAAACACTCCACTTGAGCTCTGGGGGCAGGTGGCGTGCGCGCGGTCTCGGGGTAAGACTGCATCATAACCAGCCACGTGCCCCGCTATATAACTATTAGCTAGGGATTGGGACTATCAGTCAAAACCTTGGTACAAGACCTACAAATATTAACTGCAAGGCAGAGCAACATACCGCATCGTGGCAAGAAGTATATACAATGTCCACAGACGGCATGTCTTCATCCACAAAGTGTCTCTTAATGGCAATGACATTGCAGCTACAGCAGTTGTCCTCCTCTACGGTCACACTTGGAGCATATCTGGGTCGGGGGAGGCAAAAGCAGCAGCACCTGGGAAACGGGAGCAGTCAGCGATATGGTTAGAACGAGGATTTTGTTTCATTGCTCTTTGTCGTCACATCATCATAACTCCAGATCCAGGTTTAAGTCACGGTTGTTCGATCAAACTGATCCAAAGAGCTGGTGCACGGCAATGTGTAGGTACTTGCTCTGTCCCTGCGGGTGCTTCCCCTGGCACTACCAATCCAGTGGCACACCATGTGTAATCCCGTCTTTACTGGATTAAGCAACCAGATGCACCTGGTCACAGGTTTGTCTCAACCATTTGTACAGGGTGTCCACAAAGTCCTGTTTCCCCCACGTTTTGCGTGGAAGAATGATGGCCAATTGTATCCAGAAGTACTTGATTGTATTCAGCACAAGTGTTTGACTGTATTTAGACGTCAAGAGGATGGGTGTGAGTGAGTGCCATCATTTTCATCTGTCACCATGTTCAGTGCAGGAGGAATGCATCTCCGACAACGAGTTTCAGCTCCTCTGTAGTCCCACATCACTGTTTTGCAACAGGACTTTGTGGACACCCTGCACACCCTACACCCTCATTAATGTCACTCCCTCAGCTCTACAATAAGAGTATGGATTGCAGCAGTGTAATTACTGTCAAAATCACTTTCAAAACAATCTAATACATAAACCAGCAATCAAATGCATCACCACTATCCAACCAGCTCTCGGCTGAGCCGAGTGTGAGTGCACTAGGTGCTGGACTGAGCATGTTCTGAGCTCATTTCAAGCTCTTATCGGATAACAGGAGGGTAAGAGAGCTTATGTGTGGTCCAGTGAATTCAATGAAAACCATTGCTCTAAAATTAATCCACCTTCTTCAGGTGGGGAGTGTAATTCAAATAATCCCCGGAAATGTAACCATAGATGTATCCTCCAGCACTCGAATTGGGATTGTACTCACGAACAGGAGCTGGCCAGTTTGCAGAGTCCACAGGTCGGATTTCGCATTAGGTACATAGGCCAGCCATAGGCAGCCAATGCAAAGTGCATGTAGTAGCATGTCTCCTTGTACATGTACATCTCTTGCTGAAAAAGAAAACAGAAAGAAAAACAACTATTTCCCCACAGACTAGCACCAGGTATAGAACAGATCATATTTCGCAGGGAATGCAATATAACAATAATGATAATCCTTGCATTTGATACAGGGTCTTATCACGTCTTCTCGACGTCTCAAAGCACTTCACAGAATATATCGTAAAGCGAATTGACTGTATATATTTTGTGGGCAAAACGCCCACAATTTGCAAACATCTTAGGTAACTGAAATTATCGGAGCTTTCTCATGCAAAACCGCATTATATTTCTTCCTCACTTACTCCCATCACGTGGATTTCTAATCCCAGCATGAAATCCTCCTCTTTATTTGTGTTTTCATTGCTCAGCGTGAGAAACACTGGAACTTACCTTTTCCCTTGGATGAGACACAACCAATGACTGAAACAATCTGCACACATTTTTATTCAAAATGTGATTTTGTTTTTACTGAGAAATCACAGAATCTGGTGTGCTGCGCGTAGAAGTTACATTTAATGGGATCTAATTTGTGAGACTGTCAAATTGATGTACGGCGAGCGAATCCTGCAGTTATCCTGATGTGTCAAGAGGCATTTACCATTGTAACTCCACTCTTGACTGGGGTTCATATACCATGGACAGCTGCTGGTTGTTTGCTTGCTCTCCCAGCAGAGGGTGTCATTCCACAGCTCAGCACAAATTCCAGCTCCACGTCTTCAACCCCCAATTTAAAGCACAATCACATGAACCGGCCTCCTGCTGTGACTTTATCATGTGCATAAAGCTTATCTAAAACAATTGAGACTCCACACAAAAAAAAGGTGAACAAAGAAATCCCTGGGAAGAATCAGGATAAAGTTTGATCCAATTAGATTTTATAGAAGCTTCACCTTCACCCTTGGTGACATGTTTGACGACGGAATCTGGGAATCGAGCCATCCCTCTGAGGTGGTCCTGGTTCCTGAGCCAGGTGGGTCCGCAGTATTCCAGGGCACTGCTGGTGACAGCACAGCCGGCCTGGCTCATCGGCAGGACATGGAAGGGCAGACTATTCACTGGGGAGAGGGAATCATCCCACTCAGCTCCTGTTAGCCCTGTTAGCGAAAGCCCTAACGAGTACGGTGGTACTAGCTGGACAAGCAGTGGGAAAGCTTGCCGGACAGCGATATCAATGGCAAACTATCCGGTGTTAGCTGGTTAGACTCCATTAGTTACCCCAACGCACAATCTGGAGTCCCCCAAGTCTTGGCACGTGCCAACCTGCGCCTAATATTTTCTGGTATTAGATTGGCAGGATATGTCCCTCCAGGGAGAGAGAGCGCATTTCATTCCAACAATCTATCTCTGGGATTTCCATATGTCGGTGGGATGCATGGAATTCTCAGCTTGGTTTGGATACTCTTAAGTATGGGGATGGGTTTCCATATGTGTCAGACACCCGGCTGCCCCCAAAAAACTTTATTGAGAGCCAAATGCAGCTTTGATAAAGGGTGAATGTCCTGTCGTCAAAGCAAGGCCTGATAGAACTAGATCAGCAGCACATTACTTTGTTGAGATGACATCTTCACCGTGCAATGACACGTGTCAATGCAATCTCATTACAACATCAAGTCTTCAGCAATGCATTTTAAATGGACATTTTCACAAAAATTCTGCTGTCGTCTTATTTTTTTCTTATTTTGTTAGTCTCACAGGTCACGAACCATCCTTGAGCTTTTGGGATGATAGCCATGCTCAACCTGGACCCTATTCAGAGCAGGGAAGATCTGAGATAAATCCCTTCCCTCTGCTGCAAGAGAGAATATACTTGTTACCGTAGCTCAAGCACATCTGTACAACAGCAGTGAGAGTGAGCAAAACAGCAAAAACAGCAGATCGCAGTGGATTGCTTAATCTGAGACGTCTCAACGTGATAAGGCGCTGTATCAAATGCAAGGATTATTATATCATTATTTTTATTTTATGGAAAAACGATGAAGTAACTCCATTCCTCTGTAGATCATGATTGCAATTGTGATTCATGAGCGATAAGAAATGTATCGTATTGCCTTCGTTGCCTGCTAGTGCAGGCTTCCAACGAAGCAAATTCCACAGGACTCAACTCCTGTAACGGAGAGATCTGTCGCCCTAGCAACAGGTTGGTTTTGCCCTCGTTAGTGACTCTTGCATTTCAAAACTGTATTAAATGCACGGCCACAGATCCTAGTTGGCTCAGCTCAATGATGTCTACACTGCCACACAAAACGTGCTGGAATGCCCTTTAACAGCCTTAGCAAAGAGAGAGTGAGTAATCGAGTGCTCTCTCACAACACAGACTTTTATCCGACATTAACGCCAGCCAAAGGGAAAGCTGGATTTCAATAATTCACTTCTATAGAATAACATTCTGTGAGATTCAGGTCTCAGCATAGTCTGAGCCTGGGCCAGCTTCTTTTTAGCTGTGAGCAGGTTTAACAGAGAGTGGCACTCACTGAGTTCTTCAGATCCAGGTACTTTGTGTTTCTCGTTACTGGGATTCCTGATAAAAAGGCCAGAATATCGTTGTTTGCCTGCAAGGCNAAAAAAAATTACTCAGACGTTCTGTAATCAGCAGAGATTTCAAATAATTCGCTCTCCCCAGACACACCCACCCACACACACACACACCGACACACACACCCACCGACACACACACCCACCGACACACCGACACACACACCCACACACATACACGCACACCCAGCACAAGTCAGCTCCTTCAGAAGAGAATGAAAGCTCAAGAATAAAACAAAGGGACAAGCCCAAGAGACCCAAGGTGTGTCTCGAGTGTGACCAGAGAAACAAAGTACACGAGCTTCTGCTTACCTCGTCCAAGACGGCATTTCGCTTAGCCCTCTGTCTCTGCCGCAGCAGTACTAAGCCAGCGATGATGTCCGATGGTACGATGTCCAGGTCTCGGAAAAATTCGGCAAAAAGAAAGGCAACTTCAGAATAGGCATCCTGGAGGACAGAGGCAGAGTTGGGCTCAATATAACATCATTACAGAGCCTGAGGGCAATCAGATTGTCTTAACATGTAACCTTTTACATAGGTAGAGGAGCTGGAGTAGGCTACTCACGTGGAAGTCTCTGGCAAACCTTACTCTGACTGCTGCCCTATTCGCCCACAAAACACAGTCACTACACTTTGAGTGAAGCACTTTGAGATGTTCTCCTGACAGAAAAGGCACTATACCAAATGTAAGGATTATTTATTATTATTGAACAAATTGCATTTATACAGTATGTTTCATACACTATAATATATTGCTATTAGGAGTTGGAGGGGACACAATATCACTTTTATAACAGTAATAATACTTATCATGAACTTTAGTACAGATAAATGCAAGGTAATACATATAGGAAATAAGAATAGGAAACAGATGTGCTCCTAGGATGGGTCAGAAACTGCCAAGAGGGAAGCTGATAGTTTGCAGTTTTAGTTGACTCATCGATGCAATGTCAAAACAGTGTGAGAAAGCAATAAACAAATAGGATGCTAGGATATATTGCTAAATCTGTTGAGTTTAGAGACTCAAACATCTTACCCAAACAATATCACACTCTGGTCAGGCCATACTTAGTATATTGCAAACAGTCTCTTCAACACCACAAAAGAGGATTGCCCAGGTCTTGGAGGCAGTGCAGAGAACAACTAGGATGATCCTCAGTGTTAGAGGAATGAGCTGTGAACAAGCTAGGATGTTTCAGTCTCGAGAGCCCTCTCCAAGGAAACTTTATTGAGGCGTATCAGTTCTTTTAATGGGATTGAAAAAGTAAACTCAGACCAATACTTCAGGACGCATCAAGTCAATGGAACAAGAGGACGTGGGTTTAGAGTTGCAAAAGGCATTTTCAGGAAAGATATTAGGAAGTTTTTTTTTACCCAGAGGGTAATCAGAAACTGGAACAGGTTGCCAGAAAAGATGGGCGAGGCTAAAGACAATACTGGACTCATTAAAAAAAATAGCTTGATGGTGTAATGGGAGAATAGATATCGTGGAACAATAAGATCAGACCGTTCATAATCCAAACTAGTCTTGTGATCTTGTGAAAAGAAATATTCTGGTTTATTTTGACAGAATCTGGTTGCTAAATTGGGCAACTGCAACGTAACAAAATTGCTAAGCAATATTTCACTGACACTTTTCAACAACAGTCACGAGGTGTCTTGACTGGATATCATAAGGAGATGATTCTAATCAAAGGTAAATTTGTCGACCCAGCGCCCTGGGACGTCTTTTCTAAGTGAAGGGCACTATACAAGTGTCATTTGTCGTTGTTGACCTTACCAGCAAATGCATCTCATTCTCTGTTGGCCCGTTGCACTCATGTGAATACAATGCACTAGCCTGCTGAAGGTGATACAGTTACCTAGAACTAGAGATAACCTTTAAGATGTCTACTGCACTGGGGATCAGCACTGCCGTCAAGAACTATAGAATGGATGTAGCCACCTTTGCTAGTCAATTCACTTTACAGTGTGTTCTGTGAAGCGCTTTGGGACGTCCTCCCGACGTGAAAAGCGCTATATCAAATGCAAGGATTATTATATTATTATTATTATATTATTTGCTAGTGGGTAACATCCCCTCTTCTCGTTCCCACTCCCCTCCCACCCAATCCTTCTGGCATTAACAGATAAAACTTTCTATAGAAGGTTGAGGCTCTCCATTTTACTGCCGAGGTTTCTACTCATTCATGTGGAGTCTGAAGCAAGGCGGTTAAAGTGGTTGATGTTCCTCTGTAACCCAATGTTTAAGAGGAAGATGCCTAGAATTGAATGTTATGGGAAATGGGGAAAAGGCAGGAAAATGAGATTAAAAGTTCAGCTTTAGTCTAATAAAAGTGGCAGACAGAACAGGTATGATGAGCATTTTCTCTCTTCCTTGACATGATCTATGTCCCTAACCCAACTTTGGGGCAGGAGATTGAACGAAGATATAAACAAAAATATAAACAGCACGGTTTATAAACATTTTAGACTACTGCTGATGGTGGTAAAAACAGGTTGAGTGCTGCCACAGATTGCATGGCGAAGCTTTCAAAGCTCTGGGGTGAGATGAGTGATTGACTCTGCTGCAGTGTCTCTCATTGTGCATGGGCTGTAACCAGGATCCATGGGGTTTATGTTCTGCTGAAGCTGTGCCTGCAGCAGGATTTGTTCATCTCTTGCAGAGTTCGCGAGTCCTCATATTTAATAATAGCTTAGGATTTTGCAAAGCTCCAACAGTACCAAATGCAAACGTTCTGAAGAAATCAGCAGCTGCAAGCCATCTCATTTGCACACTGCATGGGCACACACACATACACTCACACACGCACACTGACATACACACACACACACACACACATTCGTGTACAAATTCCCAAACACGATTGGACACGTATAAATATATGATTATGTTAAACTCTTTCAAGCCTCACTGAAATATAGGAGCAATATATAAGAACAAACGGCGTTGCCAGAATCCATGTTAATCACAGCCTCTGCGGTTGCCTGATTCTAAATGACTCTCTGCTGTTTCCATGACAAACATTAAGTGCTGGTTCAATTCTATTATAATCACAACAAATGCTATTTTGGGGGGGTTTAATTGCAGGAACAGTAAAAAATTGGAAAGGCACACCTAATTGCTTATCCTGATTTACTGTCTCACATACAGACCTGTCTCAAACATACAATCGCATACACCTTCACAACATAAACAAGTGCTGCCTCCACAATAGATTACAGAGATAGTCAGCTTTCCAATTCTTTTCCGGATCACATGGTCTGAATAGAGTTTTGTCTCACCTACTCATCAACGTGATAGTCAGCAATGTAGGTAACATAGTATTGTTATGGTTGGTCAAAGGGATAAGGATCAGTCCCTTGTTGCTTGTGATCTGTATACACATCAGGGATGGAGTGAGAGAGAGGAGTGGAGTGAGAGAGAGGGAGTGGAGTGAGAGAGAGGGAGTGGGACGTCTCAAAGAACTTCACAGGATATACTGTAAAGCGAATTGACTGCATATTTAGTGGGCGAAACGGGTAGAGAGAAAGAGAGAAAAATGAAGGGGAGAATGGGGAGAAGACACACACCCACAGAAATTTCTGACCAACTGTGGATCATTTTTCAATAAACAGACATTATGTTATGTCTTCCTTCCTTGTCAAAATTAAACAGCAACTTGTTGGAACAAGCCAACCCTAACGTTCACCTGAGCCTACCCTCAGCAAAAGGAGGAAAACCAAAAAGAATGAAATTCTCTCCTCCGTGCCCCCACAACACGACACTGTATATTGTATAAAAATTAGTCCTAGACTCTCTTCGATCTATTGATTTTGTGGACTCTATTTGTGGAGTCCTGTAGCTCAGTGGTTAGAGCACTCGCTTTGCAAGTGAGAGACCTGGGTTCAATTCCAGGCAGGTCAGGGCGAAACCTTGGGCAAGTTTCCTTACTCCACACGCCTAATAATAATCCCTCCAAAACCAAAAATTGGTCATTTTCAATCTATGACTGTTTGTGGGACATTGCTGTGCGCAATTGGCTGCCGCGTTCGCCCACAAATATACAGTCAATTCACTTTACAGTGTGTTCTGTGAAGCGCTTTGGGACGTCCTCCCGACGTGAAAAGCGCTATATCAAATGCAAGGATTATTATTATTATTATTATTATATTGATTGTTAAGGGACGAGGCAAAGTGATTTGGGGTCACCCTAATAGGGTTCCCAGTGTGGATAGCGGCACCACACAAACAGCTCTGAAAGTGGCAATCTAACTCCGTGTGGGAAATGGAAACTAACAGAATGGTGCAGCAGAAGTGCTATTCCGATGTATTATTTGTCGTGCTTACGGTCACCTCTTCTCCCCCACCCCCACCCCCTGGTTCGGGGTCAAACTCCGCCACCATCAAAGGCTCTGGGATGCTACCCCACGTGAAGCGCGCTATATAAATCCAAGTTATGTTGTTGATACTTCAAAGCTCAATTTGCTGACCTTATAGCAGCAAATGCACCTCATTCTCAGTTGATCAGAGAGGTCTTACAACTCTCTCTTTCTCTCTATCCCACTCTTTCTCGCTCCTTCCCTCTCATGTATGTATGTGTGTGTGTGTATGCGCAAGTGTTCCACTTCCCTAAACCAGGATGCCTAACCATAATGTACACAAAAATCATCAAATAATGTACTTTTCAATAGGATAATTTTAACAGCTGAAATGCCAACCCCAACATTCACCTGACCCCACCCTCAGCAAAAGGAAGAAAACCAAAAAGGATAAAATTCTCTCCTCCACCCCCTTGCAACACGGCAGTATATACTGTATAAAAATAGTCCCAGACACTTCCACCCCGAGGCTCACAAGATAATTACAAACTGCTCAATGACCATGCTTGAGGTTTAGATCATCCGTGTTCTCGGTCAGGTTTCAGCCATAGGATCACAGCTATATTACCCTCTAAATAAAACATGGGAGACGGCACTTCTTGATATCCTCTCGATATGAAAGCCATTATATACCAATTACAAGTCTGCAGTCTGGTGATGTGCTCTTATGGGTAAGATAGGAAAGTATCTCATTATACTTACGGATTGGGAGTCTTGTGCACGGGTACAGCAAAGGAAAAATTTCAATCGCCTGGACCAACTGCTGGCCTGTTCTTCCTCCAGGCGATGGCTGAATTAAAAGGAAAAAGATGTTTGTAACTTTGGAAAATGGTAATTGGGTTTATTGGGTTTCGAGCGAGTCACCACCAATACCTTTCAACATTTTTTTTAAAAATTACGTCTGTTTACTTCTGCTGAATATATTCCCTTACACAGTGAGAACTAATGACATGGGGACACAGTTGGGAGCCTGACAGTGTGAGGGAATTAGATTAACGTTAGTGCCCATTAACATAGGGAGCGGTTACGGAGTTTGATGGAGCAAGGGAATTTAATTAACTTCAACAGGGATACAACTAAGTACCTCAAAAAGCTTGTAGTTTATTATTCTGGCTCTTGACTAATAATGTTTTCAGGAATTCCACTACTTTCCTCAGTAGTGTTAAATAAAAAAAGTTTTAGTTAATCAATTTCAGCACGTGAACAGTCTCTGTTTAATGATTTCCTGATCGTGAGACATCTCGATTCCCCAAATACCGTGGAACTGATCGATAATTGTCCCCAGTCAGTCTAAATGCAGGTCGTCCTTATGGATGGTCAGCGTACAATACATCTCCCGTTCTCAATGATTCATTCAATATTAAACTTGACATGGTGCAGTCAAGCAAGATTGGTGACCTTTAAAATTGTTGATTGGATTTTACTAGCGACAATGATTTCTCAAACCTTAGCCAAGATGTCATTTACCAGTCGCATCTTTCGCCCTCAGCACGCCACTGATTTGCATGAATTCATGTTCACGGTTCCCATTCCGTGCTCTCCACTTGAAATCAAATTTGGGGACTGACAAGTCACTATTGCAATGTTAATCGGCCTGGCTCATTCTTCTTCTCCAGGATCAACCTGGAGGCCAAGAGCAACCCCAGGCTCCTTTTTTCCAGCACAAACCAGCTCCTTCGCCCACGTTTCCATGCCCCAACCATCCTCTCCTCCAACGGACGGAAAGTCTAAAATTGAGCGGATCTGCTCTGCTGCCTCTGCCTTTGCTACCACCTCCCCCTTCCCACCTCCCCCTGTGGCTTCCACCCATCCTTCCCTCCACACCTTCAATTCCATTTCTCCATCGTCCCTCTCTTCCATCATCTGCTGGATGAACCCACCATGTGATTTCTTGACCCCCATCCCCATTCCTCTCCTGTCGTCCAGGTTCAATCTCCTTGCCCACCGCTCCATCCCCTCTCGCTCTTTGTCCACTGGCAGTTCCCACCCCTCAAAACAGCTGTCATCACCCACCCCTCAAAAAACCTTCCCTTCATCTTCCCTAACTACTGTCCCATCTCCAACTTACCTTCCCCCCTCAAGGTACTGCAATTAATTGCTTTCCTTTCCTTACAGTCCCTGCATGAACCCCTCCAATCCGGCTTCCACCTGCTCACTGTATCAAGACTGCCATGGTCAAAATCACAAAAGACTTTCTGTCCATCTGTAACTGGGATTCTCTTTATCTCTTAATCCTTCTTGATCTCTCTCCACCATTCTATCGTTCTCCACCACTTTTCCTCCCAGCTTGACCTTCAAGGTTCTGGTACTTTCCTGATTTCAACTGTCCTTTAAACCTAATCTGTCCTCTGATCCAATCAATTAGCTTCCCCCCACCTCCACAACATTGCCTGCCTCCACCACTATCTCTCTCTTCAAGCCGCCAAGACCTGTATTCATGCTTTAATTACGTCCAGGACTGACTACACCAACTCCCTCCGCAAGCTGCAGATATGGGACTCTGGTGAATATACGACTTATAAAGCTAAGACATATGTGAGTTTTACTGTATTGTTGTTGCTTTAAATTTTGACTCGTTGGCCTGTCAGGCCGGGTTGGAACCAAACTAAACCACTTGTATCAAAAATAATGTCTAGCCAGAGGAAAAAGAAGTCAGCAGATAATTTATTTATAAAAGTTTAATAGGAGGAAATTAATGGTAGAAAACTGTAATATAAAGTCAATATGAAAAGATAAACCAATGAGAGAAACTAGACCAAATACAGGGGTGACCAGGCAAATATGCATTCATAATATTTTATAAGAATTTTGTATTTATCTTAGATGTTTTCGGTTCATAAAGCAGTAAAACTATTCCTGATGTTTGAGTAGCTTTATTAGTCTAATTCTTCATTACAGGGCATGATCTAACACCATTCAAACCGAGTGGAGATTCTGTAAATCTGCCAGTATCCTTCAACAATTCTCCCCGCCACCCCCGTTTTTTCCTTACTCCTCAAACCCATGCTGAGTTATAACTTATAGACATTGGCAGCGTTTGTTACCTCACCCAAACTGGCCAAGGTTTTGCGTGATCTTGGATAGGGGATTGTTCAATGATTTCAACAGTGGAGTAGGCATTGCAATCAAGCTGCGATCCTATCCTCACCTAATGCCAACACGGGTGAACCTTGTACCAGAGGATACTGTATAGGGATCAGGAGTGGACACCACAGCTGATCATTTCCCCACTTCACTCCTGCCTTGGTTGGGAGGGAGGGAGGGAGGGAGGGAGAGACACTGAGGTTAATTTTCGTGCCCCAATCAAACCAAACTAATAAATAGAAACTGGAGCAGAAGTAGAGGTTGTATAAATGACACCACCACTCAGCAATTAGAACTCAATGTGAGAACCACTAACATGGAATCACAGGGGAAGACAAATTATTAGCAATTTTCTTACAAAATTCCCAAGACAGCAATAGATAATTTAATACTTTGAGAAGCTTGCCATTCCCATGATATATATACTAACTCTGACGTGTGTCAAACTCTGGTGACTGTGATCATTGGTGGTCACAGTGTGCTATTAATACTGATTTCTGACCTAGATCCAGAAGTTGCATCTACAGAAAAAAGCATTGTTTAAAGACATTGCTAACTCCGAAAGGAATTCCTGAACCATTACTCCAATTCAGCCTTTGCCTTTTGTGCGACTTAGCCACGTCAGAAAGAGAAATTACTTTTCACAGAAAGTAAAAGAAAACTAATAGCTGGGGCATTGCCATTTGAGTCTGTTCATTGTTAAACAGCACATGGATTTACCTAAAGAACAAACCATTTTCTGTTTCAGTACCTTTTGAAAACAGGAATAAATAAATTCTAACCATGCACTGAACACTGCCAGAATTCACAGCCAGCAGAGAACCAGCGTATGCTCGCCCACACTGAAACACACTTAAAAGTGAAGCATTTTCTCGTGTCAAAATGGGTTACAAGCAATACAGTGTGAAGAACTTGCAAGTAAAAATCTGGAAGTCTCAAATCTAAAATGCATTTCCAATAGCGTCATATCTTCAGAGAAAAACATAAAACAGAACAACCTGAGACCCAGAGAAGTGGTTTTATAAATCTTAGTTAAGAATATTCTCTCTCCATTTAATAATACTAATCCTTGCATTTGATATAGCGCTTTTCACATCTTTTAGACGTTTCAAAGAGCTTCACAGAATAGACAATAAAGTGAATTGACTATATATTTGTGGGAGAAACTCAGCAGCCAATTGCGCACAGCAGTGTCCCACAAACAGTCGTGGATTGGGTGACCAAATCATTATCGTTTTTTTCTTGAGGGATTATTATCAGGCGTGGTGCAAGGCGAGTGCTCTAACCACTGAGCTACAGGACTACACGTCTTTTGCAATAACAACAACAAATTACATTAGTATAACACCTTTCATGTCAGGAGGATGTCCCAAGGCTCTCGACAGTTAGGGATTTGCACGCATTTACATGAGGCCAGTGATCAGCTGGTATGAAAGCATGGGATACAGAACTGGATTATTGCTTGGTCTCTGACACTGTTCTCCCCAAGTACTTTGGGTGACAATGCCTTCGAGAATTACTAGTTACATTTATGGGCAATGGCAGGACTGAATACTGTTCACTTTTATCAGCACAAACGAGTACAGGCACACACTATCTACCCTTCTGATCAGTAAGCTTAACAAAACCTCTGAGGCAGTCTCATTAGTCCGGTTCCTGGTTGACCCTCAGTACTCCAGGGAAGTGCTGATAACAGCACAGCAAGTCTTGGAAGGGTTGACCAGTCACTGAGGTTGGGAATCCTCCCACTCAGCTCCTGTTAACCCTACCCGACTGGGCAAATCAAAGCCCTAACTGTTAGGATGGTCCAAGCTGGACAAGCAGCGGGAAAGCTTGCCAGACAATGCTATCAATGACAAGCTATGTAGTTTTAGCTGGTTAGACTCCAGCAGTTACCCCAACACACAATCTGGGGTCCCCAAGCCTTGGCTCATGCCAACCTGCACGTAATTCCAAATCCCTGCCTTGGGACGTCCTCCCGACGTGAAAGGCGCTATACAAATGTAATTTTGTATTGTGTTTGTAATACTTTCCGGTTTTTGCTCTCATTACTAAGAACACTCAGCAATCTATACATAAGTGTGTAAAGGTGTATATTTGAACCCAAGGGTGCAATAACTTCTTCCCTCCTATACAGATTGTGGGGATGCAGCGAGGAACTCATGGGAATACATGGCAACTGGGCAAATAGAAAATGCGATGAAAAAGATGAGGAAGGCTACAATCAGAGCACTCAATAATAATACTGAATGAGATTAAATCTTCAGTCATTTTGAGAGGCGTTAAAGATATCAATCAAGGCAATAAAAGTGACAACATCCTTTTTGTACATTAACTAACGTCAGTGCAAGCTGTCACTGGCAGTTTCCAGACTTTTTTTTATTAGATGCAGATTTGATTCACGGTTTACAAGGTGACGTCTTTGGCATACAGAAATGTGTAAGGCCATTTAAAATGGAAACAAATTCCTATGGCTCAAAGTGATTGCCAAGGTGAACAGAGGCTACAGTACTTTAAATCAACTTAGAAATATTAGAGTTGTTGCAACTCTATCCAAACCAATTAACTTTGCAGAATTAGAGAACATCACGTGACATGGAAGAAAGTGTCTTGCTGTTCAGTGGAACACCATTTGTGAAAAACTACTGCAAACTATTGAGGAGCAACAAGAAAAAGTGCTTCCTGAAGGAAAATGAGAAATGAATCTAAAGATCATCACAAGGAAGAATGCTTTTTTTTATTGTGTTATCACACTGAAACTTTACAAGTAAAATAAAATCACTGTTCAGTGTAATGACTGTTTTGTGTCAACAAAGTCCTGCAAACTGTCATCCACGGGGAAGAGAGCCAACAGGTTGCACAATGAACACACTAAACAGAAAAGAAGTCTATGGCCCTCCTGTAGGCTTTGCTCTGCTCAAAGTCTTTATGTGGTCTCTAATAATAATAATAATAATAATAATAATAATCCTTGCATTTGATATAGCGCTTTTCACGTCGGGAGGACGTCCCAAAGCGCTTTACAGAACACACTGTAAAGTGAATTGACTGTATATTTGTGGGCGAACGCGGCAGCCAATTGCGCACAGCAATGTCCCACAAACAGTCGTAGATTGAAAATGACCAATTTAATTATTGTTTTTGTTTTTTTGGAGGGATTATTATTAGGCGTGTGGAGTAAGGAAACTTGCCCAAGGTTTCACCCTGACCTGCCTGGAATTGAACTCAGGTCTCTCACTTGCAAAGCGAGTGCTCTAACCACTGAGCTACAGGACTCTAAAAAGCAAGGTAAGCTCTGACACCCAACCACAGACAGCAAAGGGTCGGGCAGGACATATTTGGGTTAAACCCAGCCTCTTCCAATTATAGGGAAGAAATTCCACCTGGGTCTAGATTTACTTTACTTCCTTAGCATTTCAGAGCATCAAGAAATTGGCAACTTCTTAAACACAGACTTAATTTTGAAGCCAGTTGAGTGAAAGTTCTTTTAAGAACCGCAGGAAACCGATGTCAAATTTAAGAACAAATTGAACGATTTACAACTCTGGAAATTGTAAAATGCTGAATAAAATCCTGGTGGAGATTCTCCCTGTATATTGCTCTTTTTCTCCCCCGTGTGAATGTACGTACACATTGCTGCCTTAAGATGTTGCATTAAGAAGAATCAGAATCCTTCATCTTTTTACCACACACAAATATCCCAATTATTACCTACTTTGTATCTTGAGTGCCTAGTGTTATTCAACCTTACATTTGTACCAACTGCAGTTTGATAACATTTGAGAAAAAAATTATTTTATATACATATTAGCCTGAAATGGAGCAGTGTGCCTTGTAGATATTGTAGATAGTTCTATATGGGGCTACTGACAGTGTTGTTTGATGGTGGTTTCCACATTCCTTTCTTCCTACTCTCATTGTAGATACTCATTTTCCAGAAATGCCCACAAGCCAGCTGATATTGTGCACCAAAAACTAATATCTCAGTGTTTCAGAGCATTCTAATCAGTTCCCACTTACCGTAAATTGTAGGTTCTAAGATTTCGCTGACGTCGTTTGGTTGCTCGGAGTTTCACAAACGTTCTGCCCGTTCGGTCAAAAACGCACATTACAGTGATGCAGACGCTTAGAATAACAACCCAGTTACAGGCAACGATTCCTGGATTTGTAAAGAAGATAGAATAAGGCTTTGAGTATGGCAGTGAAAGGTCTAAAATTGTACAAATTAACAATGAAAACTGAGGGTGAATGTTCTGCAGCACATCTGTCTGTCTGTCTCCACATATAATTCCCACTGAGATGGAAGGTTCCAGAGCCTGAACATGAAGGACAATGGAAAGATATAATAAAGAGATTGCTGTACTGACAGTTGTATAGGTGTTTGTTTTATTACTCCAATTTTTCCCTGATTTTTTTCTTCCACTGGCAGTGGATCCTTGGGTCAGATTCCAGCAAGCACACAAGTGACAATGTTTGAATTGGACGATGAGTGTCAATAGGCACTGTAGGACGTACTAGCACGCATGTATACTCTATTAGACACAATACAAAATTACGTTTGTAAAACACCTTTCACGTCGGGAGGACGTCCCAATGCACTCACTCACATTCCAGCAAGGGCTCACTGAGAGTGATCTGGATAAGAAACCATGGCTGATTTAGCTCTGCCTAGCTTAGTGGTACAGAAGCCGTAGAAACTGGAAGGGGTATGGGATTGCTCTGACTGCTGGGGCAAATGGCCTCTTTCTATGCCAATCATAACATTATGCTTTCCAAACCTATTTCACTTGATATCCTTAGCAATCATGAGGGAATGAGAGAGAAGGCTTTTGTCCTCTTCTGTGGAAATTGATTGCAACCAAAATAGAAACTTACACTCGCCTGTAAACTTTGGCTGCACAAATTTTAGTGAATATAAAGAGTTAACTTCAGCGTACTCATTGTGGATATATACTACTTTCCAGTTGCAAGTTATCAGCTGATCAAAAACATCAGGTGGTCAAAGCCACAGCATTCCATTGCCATGACTAAATTGGGAGTTAGCTGCTCGCACACTGGCCAACATTACCAATATTCAGAATAACATGTCATTTTTAATGCGGGTGAACTGCCCGCTGTGCTTTTCTACTAACACATTATAGATTGAACAACAACAGTCTTGTTCCATATCATCAGCTTGTGAATTTCAGTTCAGTCCTCTTCCCCCCCCTGGTAGGTTTGCTAACAATGAAGTGTTTGCAAATTCTTGGTTGGGTGGCAAACTGGAAGCAAGCTCCACATTGTTCAGTTGGGTCTGTGAGCAAAACTCATAACCATTGCAACTAATATCCTGTATGGCACTGACGCCAATGAGCCAGCACCTTCCTTGTGACTCGCCTTCTCTTTGTCCATCACAGCCCAGAATATTTCATTCTCACGTTTACAGAATGAATAATTGGCTGCTTATTTCTTTTTAAAAAGTGAGGCAACAGGAAACTGGACTTACACAACTTTGTACTCACCCAGGGTAACGTTCTTTGCAGCAGTGTCATGACAGGAATGGTAGTATTGCACCAACCAGATGATTCCTATTATTGCATACACAAATTCTATTACAAGGATTGCTGGAAGGAAGCATAATTGCAAAGTGCTTGGGTTATGATTTTGCCACCAAAGAAATATGAAACCTTATTTCATTAACATATAAATGGCACTGAGAGAGCAGTTAGTCAGCACACAATCTGGTATTGAATTATTCGACTGAAAATTAAGCACAACATTTAATTAGTAGGCACACTTGTCTATCAATTTAAGGATATCCTGCAGTTGTTCAGTTAGAATGAACTGGAAAACGATCTCTGATCCCCAGGAATTTGCTCCCACAAATCCATGAAACCCTTCCTCATTGACCCCGCATTCGGTGATCTTCTGCATGTCCCTCGTTCCCTACATTCCACCATTGGTGGCTGTGCTTTCAGCCACTACGCCCCAAACTCTGTAACACTCTTGTATCCCTCCGCCTTATCCCTTCTTTCCCCATCTTCAGGTCACACCTGAAGACCTTCCTCTTCGACCGTGCCTACGGTCACCTCCCCCTCACCCTGGCTCGGCGTTGTGCTCTGCCACTGTCAAGCGCTTTCGGACGTTAGATAAATGCAAGTTGTTGTTGTTGTAGGGATGGTGTACCAGAAAAGCAGGGGCAGAATAATGAAGGCTTTCCCACCGCTGGTGGAGCAGAGAAGATGGAACTGTAGCGTCACACAAGGTCAAGGCCATGGAGGTATTTGAAAGTAAGGAGGAGAATCTTGAATTCGATCCATTGGGGGATGAGAAACACAATAAAACAATCCATCGTTGTTAATACCAAGGTCGATTCAATTTGTGAGATTTACTTAAAAGGAATACTAGAAATATTGACATCATTGTAAAGCAGCAAATTTCAATGCAAAGCTTCCCACTGGGCACCGATATCAACATGTCTTACCTAGTCGGATGTACAGAATGTACTGCATCGAATCTCGAGGCTCTGTGTAAAGGATGCTGCCACGCATGCTCAGCCAGATTATTGCAACCTCTGATATCATACAGCCCATAAGGATGCCCAGGTAACCCCTGCCATGGTCCACCAGGTTCAGCGAACATGTCTCTTGAGGGTTGTAGGTCAGGCCGAACAGAACCACAGCAAGGACCACAAACCTGGAAAACAAAACTGGTATAAATGAGATTATGTAACCCAGGAACCTGCTGCCAGTAATAACATAGACCAAGAATACTTACATTTCATGTAATCTCATCACTTCCAGAGGACAGCTCAAAGAGCTTCACAGAGATTAAAGTGTATCGACTGTACATTTGTAGGCAAACACTATAGCCAATTTGCACACAGCAATGTCCCACTAATAGCCATAAAGTGAATGACCAATTATTAAAGGCTTTTGAAACCGATTCAGTCAGATGAATTCAAGACTAGATGAGCACCGCCTTCGTGCTCTGCCAATTCTGAGGCCTACAGAAAAATGCTGGTGCCATAAAAGTAAAACACAGCAGTACCTCCTCTCCAGATGAATACTTTCAAAGTGGTGTATTTAACATGAAGTTCAGCGGCTTAGTGACAGTAAACATGTAATACAGAAGGTTGCTGGAGAGGTAGGATTTGAGATGGTGTCAACTGCATCCCCACACAGTAATTCTGTGCTTTAAGAAGAAGAAGGATCACTTTCTCACAAGTGGGGAAGGAGGCTGGAAAATTCCCAGCCAGACATCCCACCAGAGGTCACACTGCCTCCCAGACTCGCACTGGCTCCCGGGCTCACACTGGCCTTCTGGGCTCACACTCGCTCACGGGCTCGAACTCGCTCCCAGGTCACAATCACTCGCTTCTCAGCGGCAGGTTAAAAAAAACCTGGATGAAAATTGCCAACCAACTCCGCCTGGGAATGTGAGTGCTACTGGGGCACTACAGAAGGGTAAAATAATAAAATAACTTACAAGAAACAAAAATGAAATTCATTTTAAAGCACTGCCAGGAGACAGTAATAACAGTTAGATACGCCATCGTTCTCTTCGCCTATTTGCAGGAACGGAAAGAAGAAGCAACAGTATTGCTGTTGCCTGTAATTTTCACTGGTGCAAACGTTAAAAGAGGATTTATATTTTTAAGGGAGGCCCAGAAGATTTCTCTTCGAAGAGCCAGTTTCTGATGTGGGCAGTGCTGGCAGTGGGTATCACCATGCTAAATTTGTGCACTTCCCTCGCAAAAGGGGGGAAAAAATACAGCTACAGCTTGCTGTTGGTCAGTCCTTCGCTGGTACTAGCTCCAGAAAACCGAGGCAACCTTGAGAGGTGACTTTCAGGGCTTCTTTGAAGGTACCCATTCAGTCAATTATAAATGTAAATGTTTTCAATGGTGACTGTCATCTTTTTCTGTAAAGGGCATCGGTGGAGTTTGTGCGTCACAAGCTTATACACTTTCCCAAGAGATGGGGACGATCACAGCTGGAAAACAAATCATGACATGTACTGCTGCTGCCAGTGCTGTGAAATCCATCTCACGGTATAAAAATCGAGTACATTAACTGTATTCAACTCCAGCAATATAGTCGTGCTGGAGAATGCAGTGAAGCAGCTCAGTGACATGATTAATACAACTTGCACTTATCAAGAATGCCTTAGTGTGCTACAAAGTCAATGGGGCATCACCCAACCAGGAAGGGAAGGCGAGGGAATTTGAGGATGTTCACCAAAGGCACGGTCCAAAAAGATATTTTAAGAGGGTTTGAAAGAATACCGTTAGGTTGGAGGAGTTTAATAAAGGAGCCTTTAAATTCCTGTGCAGTGAGGCTGTGCCTGGGCTGGAGTTTAAGCGGGAAATCAGCAGAACACTTGTTATAATCCAGAATGTACAGTCTACATTATCCACGTTTGTAGCATGTGTGACTTTTCAACCTTACTCTTCAGAAGGCCTCCAGGCAAAAATAATTCAAAAAAGAAAATAGCAATAGAAATCCACAGCCTGAGATCAGGTTATTTGGTATGAACTTTCAGTTACAAGATTTAAGATGCTAAGGCATCATAGTAAGCACTGCAGGCTGCTGCAGATTTACTGATGCTTTCAGGGATGTCACTGTACAACACACACCACACACATGGGGTAAACCACATTAGCCGAGCCTGAAATTAAGGTCAGCTCCAGAGCGATTGCTCCCACTCTAGATGGCAATGCCACAGCTCCTGGAACCTGCTTTATACAGAGCTAACCCAGGCCCAATGCTAAAAATACTGTCTTTTATTTGATGGGCTAGATAATTTTGATTTCAGAGTTTAATTTAGGAAACATGGAATTTATTTCCAGATTTAGGAACACAACTGAAATTTCAATGACTATACTTAACCTAAAAAATACAAGAAAGCACACTCTCTCCAGATCACTTTCTCAATTGTCAGAGAAAAGGTTGGGTTCTTAAAACTGGCCTTAGCATCGTTGTATCTGGCATTGCAAATTTTGCCTAACTTTAAATAAACATCAAACATTAATGCAGAAACAAAAGCAATATCAGGTTTCAGTTTCCAGTTTGGCTCAGTAGGTAGAACTCTGGCCTCTGAGTTAGAAGGTTTCAGCTAATTACCTGTGAAGTATTTTACACTCGAAATGATAAGATGCTATAAAAATGTAACATTCCAACACAGGTCAATTTCATTTAAGCCAATGTATCTGCGCTGGAGCTATCTACTCTAATTCCACCCGTGTTCCTTTGTCATACTCTAATATTTTTTCAAGTATTTATTCAATTCCGTTTAAATGCTGTGATAGTTAAGCTTTCCATTCAAGTAGAATTAATGATTTGTTTCCAAAGGATTCAAAGGTATTTATGGTGCAATAAACTAAACCTTCTCTTTTTATCTTTCTTTTGAAGCTATTTACAATTGTTATCTGCTTTCTTCTCTCCAAGGTGCAGAAAGTTGCTGGATCAAGAGGGAGTAGTAGACACCTTAATCCACTTCTCCACCAATGGCACTCTTAAACTTGCCCCCGATGATTCACTCTCTGACTTTCTTTCTGCTCACCATTTGCCAATGGCGCAACTGAGCCTGATCTTTCAACAAGTGAGGAACCAAAAGAGCCAATGCGCTGAACTGTCGTACCACTGTGAAAGCGCAAACGCTAACACACTGCATCCATTAATATATAGCCATTTAATACAATTGTTCAGGCAACAAATTAATCTGTATATTCCAAGGTAAAAGAATACTTACTGGTTTATTGGGAAGGTGCTTTGCAGATACTAAATATAGTCAGGAGTGCACTGTTGCATGATTGAATTAGTATATTAGTATTTCATTGGCATGCAAAGTAGCTCTGTGAATCTCTGTGCAGTCTGGACCAGAGATATTTTATAAACAGATGAAGCAAAACTCTATTCCTATCTGCCCAAACACAGCAGATACCACACATGTGAGAATTAAGTTCAATGGGTTGGTTTCTCATCCTCTGACTGCGATAATATATGGGTCTGTGGGAAGATGCTTCAAAGTACTTTTATTAACAAAACTCAGAATAAGAACAGGCCATTCAGCTCATTGTGCTATTTGCCTTCAAAACAGTCATCCATTGTTGTTCAACTTCAAATTTCCTATAATCTCTTCCTAAACCCATGGGAATCAATCAAAGTAATTGCTATTCTCATTTCAACACACCCTTTTCAATATTGATCGAGCTGTTTTTAATGGTTATTAAGGAGCCAATTCCACATATCTATAGTGAGGAAAAACATTTTAAACTTCCAGAGCATCTCTGGCATGTGATTTTATGTGTTCTTGTTCTATGCCCATGGAAGCCAATCGTTCCATGTAACGATTCAAATCTATTAAATTTGCATAAATACAACCAATTTTACTGGCAATAAGATGTGAAAATCTAGTGAAATAAAACTACTGACCTCTTGCATAATCAATAGAATTTAGATGGCAAGAACATTATAAAACATGTAACTACAACATTTCTGTTCTTCACTAAATCAACTGGTTATTACCTTAAAGCTACCAGGATAATGGATGGATAAAGTTTCCACATTGCAGTTAGTACAATTAAAATGACCTAATTTAAAGCAAATTAGATACATTTGAGGAATCGAACTAAAAATGAAAGAACAGGGAAATGGGATTAGAATAGAATGCACCAAATAGGGGAGGTAGCATGGGATTAACAAATCACAAGATTGGTTCAGGTGAAGAAGGCCCTTTGGTCCATCTGATCTCATCCTTCCAGAACACTCACCATACATTCCTCCATCGCAGCATCAAGCTACTTCTTAAATGAGTCCAGTGTCCTCAACCACCCACCCTGGAAACATGTTCCAGTCATTCCTCTCCGAGTAAAGAAAAGCTGCTTGGTATCTATCATGAAATTGCCTTTCACAACTTAACTGGAATTCTCATCAACTTTTGTCTGGACCACAATATCATTCATGGTTCCCAGCAGCTGAACTTGGTGGTCAATCTACATGTCTGATCCTAAACAACAATTGGATCCACTTCGGATTCACGAGTGGAATTGGTGACTTCATCACGTTGTATATGCAATATCTTCACATATAGATGTGCAAATTTGGCTGGTCTTTAATTAACCGATTGGAAGTTAAAGGCAGGAAAATGATCACCTGTCAGACAATAAGCTTCTACTTGAATCCAGTCCAGGAGAAAGAGAAAAGAGCTAGAAGAGCCTCACCAGCAATCACGTGCCCTGAACTGACAAAGGTCTTTTTTCCCCAAAGCTAGCTCCAGTCACTTCTATTCAGTATTCCTTTTACAAATCCATTCCCAGGAAATGGAACAAATTTCACGATATGGCTTTATTTTGAATGTAGACCTGATGATTTATTTTTATTTTTAATAGTACATATTGTTGAGGGCAATGAAGGAATTGACTGGCTATTGTTAGTGAGCCCGATGGCATGAGGTTCCTGATTCAATAGAAGCCAGAAACGGAAATTAAAGCTTTTCAGAATTCCTTTAAAGCAATCTGATCTTGAAAATGAACCTGGAGGCGAGACACTCTTTTGAAAAGGTTTTTTTTTTGGCAGCACAATTTGCTCTTTCACCCGGGCAACAAGTCAGTCCTCAGAAAAGGGCAGACAGTGGCTACAGCATGTAGCTCCAGCTTTTCATTCAGAACAAACCAAAGTGTGTCATCTGTAGATCACAAACCAGTCATACATTCTTTATTAATCAAATAGCTGCTGGCTATCCTATGCAATTTATTGGTCGAAAAAAACAGCACTTGCATAATTTCCTGATTCACTTTTACAAGCTGTAAAATTGGAATGGAATCATTTTTAACAACCTGGAACGAATTTCATCAGGAGACACCATGCCTCCCTCCTATGTCATTAACCTTCATATTAAGAAATAGGGTTGTTTGCAACTGGCTGTCTCGCAGCATGTTTTAGTGCCTTCTCATACCTTGTCTAGTGCAACAAAAAGGCAGGCTTTAGATGCTGGATTCACTTGCACGGGAAAAAGTGTTGTATAAAATTATTGGATTACTGCCATTCCTTCAGGTTCTTTCTCCCCCTTATGGCAATAATAACAACAACTTGCATGTATATAGTGCCCTTCATGTAGGGTAGCATCTCAGAGCACTTAACAGCGACGAAGCTTGACGCCGAGCCAGAGGGGAGGTGACCATAAGCACGGTCAAAAAGGAAGAAGGGGGAAAGGCAGAATGATTGAGGTAGAGAGTTACAGAATCTCGGTGCATAGTGACTGAAAGCATAGCCACCGACAGTGCAGAGGACAAGGACGGCAGGAGGCCGGAGCTGGCTGAACGAAGTGGGTGGGTAGAGGAGTGGGGTGTAAACAGGTCAGAGGTAGGGAGTTGATTTGTATAGAAGTACGAGGATCTTGAAATCGATCCGTTCTCCAATAGAGAGCCAGTTAGCCTGGCAAGGACTGGGGTGATGAGTTGCCTAATACAGGTGAGGAAACGGGACATTGGAATTTTGAATTAATTGGATTTTATGAATAGTGGAATGGGGAGCCCGGCAAGGAGGACATTAGAAAAATCGAGGCAGGCAGGAAAGAGTGAAAGGTATGGGTGATGTAGCATAGGTGGAGGAAAGAGGTCCTGGTCAGGAACCGGATGTGGAATTGTAAACAGAGCTGGGTATTGTAGATGATGCCTAGATTGCTCATAGGTTCAGGAAGCCTGAGGGATAGGCTGTGAGGTAAAGAAGGTCAGAGGCACAGTTGAGAAGATGTTGACAGGAGCTAAGGAATATGACTTGCGTCTCGTTAACATTCAGGTGCAGAAAGTTGGTGCTCATCCAGGCCTTGATGTCTGGCAATGTGTCAGACTAGCTCATTTGGTAGCACTCTCACCTCTGAGTCAGAGTCATTCAAACTGAAGGTGGGAAGACAGAGATTACCAGAACTGTGGTCAAAGAGCAAGATATTCAGATGGACCTTGAAATAGGCGAGGGTAAGGAGTTGAGTCAGAGGAACTCCAGGATTAAGCTCCAGAGAATGTGGCCAAATAGGATGAAAGCCTGACTGCCAATGGTGGCAGTTAGGGTGGGGGAGATGAAGCAAGCTGGTGTCTGCTAAGCAAAGGGAGCAGACAAATTGGTACAGTTCAAGGAAGTCACAGAGGTAAGTTGGGCAAGACCACGGGGGCATATCAAAATGAGGACAAATATAAATGAAGAAGACTCTTTAGCCCATCTAAAATACCCACCCTACTCTCTTATCATTGCAACATCAACCCATTTCTTCAGTCCAATCTTCTATCTTCTACCAAACTTCCTAGTAAACAGCTCCTTTACTATGGCAACAGAAATCTGTCAGAGAGGAGGATGTAAATAGAATAAAGAACATAGTCGCATAAGTGGGATTTCTTGCATTTCTTCATTAGGAAGATCTTGAATTTCTCCACAGAGAGGGAAGTTCAACAGGAGGACAAGTCAACATGCATCCTGACTTTCTGCCAGATACAATGAACTAATTGGTTGGGGCCTGGAAGCAAGTCACCACAATTACTTATTTACACCAAGGAATGGTGGCAGTGGGTAAAAAGAGGGAATACAGAATTTTTTTTAAAAAAATTACACAGTATGAGAAAATGTTTTAAAGACAACATAATGTAACTGCAGATCCTGAAACCTTTCCCAGAGGAACATGTTTGAATTCCTGTTTAAATTCAGTCTATTTCAGTACAAACCACACATGGGTCTATATAAATGTATAAGACATTAAACATCTCTTGACACCAAAAATGTGCAATTCCTGGTGGCTAGTTTCAGTGCTTTTGAGATAAGTAATAGTTTTATAGTTTTAAGCAAGCTGGTGGTTGGAGGAACACATTATATAGTGTGCCGTGCAGGTGGGTTGTGTCAGCAAATAGTTAAATACTTTTTGGGTGTTTTATGTATTTCCAACTAGCATATATTCAGATCTGTCCTTAATTTGCTCCTTTGATGTTCAGATAATTGCGCCAGTTTCCAGTAAAATCCAAATGAACTAACGGTTTTCATCTCCATTACATTAAATTACATAAAGTGACACCAGTTCCTGCCGGTGTTCATACTCTGCACAAGCTCCCAACCTGCTATTCCCGTCGCCTATATTCCTCTATTCCCTTCTTCCTCACACATGAAGTTTTCTCTTAAATAAATTGATGCAATTTGTTTCAATCCCAGTTTCCAGCCGTGAGTTCCACACTCTCACCATTCTCTGCAATGAAGAAGTTTCTCCTAAACTATGGTGACCACACGTCCCCAATTTCCGGGGACAGTCTCTGGATGAGGTATTGTGTCCCTGGGGCCAAATTTGCCCCATCTTAATTTCAGGCACAAAGTGAGCAAGAACAATAACATTCTAAAACAGTTACAACCGAGAAATACAGCCATTAATCCAAATGGCTTCTCCAGCAGCAACAATTGTGATGATTTCGATTTGTTTTTATATGTGACCCTAGATTCCATACCCGAAACTCCCCATTAGATCTGCTACTGGTTGTCTTGCATTGATGCCCTCAAGTTTTGGACTCACCAAACAAGTGGAAATAAGTGGTTGGGTCACCAACTTATCAGCATCCACTTTATCAAATCCTTTCATAATCTTGAACACTTTTAGCAGGTCGCAACGAGGATGTCTTCATGGCGCCTTTCCTCAAGCCCTGTGGACTGCTAGACCAGCCTGGTAATGCAATGGTGCGACACAAGATCCATTTATAAAGCGGTTCTTACCAGGTAGTGTGGACGAGGAAGAGGAAGATTCCCGGCAAAACCAAGTCATCACTCCCCACTGACCATCGCCGTCGGAAAATCACAATCCCTGGCATGCTCTCTGCCGCTGGCTGTTGATTTGATCATTAATGCTGGAGTCCTACTGGAAAAGAAGGCAGGCTTTGGTAAATGATGGCAACTTCAATCGAAGCATTAAATGCAAATGCGTTTACCAGCTGTGATCTCATAAAATCACATACAACACTCCACACAACGTAACTAGGTAAGACTAGATTATATTACTAGGAAAAAATAAGATATGAACTGCTAGCATATTGTCCCAGGCAACATGCTACTCAATACTCAACTCAATCCAGATTTTATACAATCTTTGCAGCAAACAGGTGAAAAATACAACTACCTGTACCGTTTAAGAGGCATAATGAGTGTAAAGTAAGGCACCATAAAATATCATTCAGTTTATCCAGCTTAGCTCTGTTCCCATTCACTGTCATGCGCAAATAGCTGCTGTGTATCTATATAATAGTCCACACACGTCACATGAATCCTGCAAAACACTGTGAACACTTTATTAATGATTTATTAAGAAGTACCAGCCTTGAAAAATGAACTGTGTTGATGAACAACTCAGCCAATGACAATTAACTTTTTGTTATATAAAAACGCTCACTTACAAAATACTATTACATCACGAAATACTACAAACCTATTCTTAGCTAATACAAATACTAGTAAAAAAATGTGGGAGAAACAGAAAGACCCACAAACTGAGAACAAACAATCATGACATAGGACAATGGGATGTCCTCCCGACGTGAAAGGCGGCTACACAAATGTAGTTTTGTTGCTGTTGTTGACAATTGGCTCTTCATTTTGCGCTGTGCGGCAGTGAGAAAAGAATCCATCAAAGGCGTAACCACAATGATCAGATGTACCATTAGATTGTTCCAGGGCCTTAGCTCAATTCCAATGGTATATGGGAAATGCAGAATTCAGAGAACATTCTTGTGTGTGTTTACACAACCTTTCAGGCTTTTCTACTATGGAAACATTTCCTTCCAATCTGTCTGAAGCAATGCTGAAGTTTATACACACTAAATTCTTGCAACAGCTTCTACTGAAATTCCCCTCTGCTGCCTATAATCACAATACAGTGCTGCAGTTTGTACTAAATCTACTACAGACTGAATTTGGAGTTTTTTTATCTGTTTAATCGGTATGTTTAGAAGTGAATAGGACAAGAACAATAGCATCTTACTGCCTGTTTGGTAACTTATGCACTTATTTCATTCTCACTGTCAATCTTGCTTACAGGAGGACTCTTCAATCCAACACAATTGCACTTTTAGTACAGTATTCCTAATCGACCAACAGCTCACTTTTCACAGCACACCGTGTGGGGCAACTTAGTTAGCTAACAGCAGACAAGCTCTCTTTGCTTCAGAAAATGTGCTCTCAAATATTCATCACTTTCTATAACAGAAATCAGTGTCTTAATCAAATTCATAACACAATTCATACCAGGATTTACTTCAATGCAAACCTGGGAGCGCATTGAGGGCTAGTGTCTGTGGTCCAGAGTATTTTATTCTGGGATTTGGGAATCAAATGTTGATGTAAGCACAACATATATCCACAGGATCCTATTCCAATATGATACCTGTTCGATTGGACATTTACAGCCATGAGCGGAGATTGATGCCTTAAGTTTCAATTCCATGCATGTTTGAATTGTGCAACCAGCTTTGCATTTTCGTCACCTGTACCCGACTGCATATTTTTCAAACATCAGTTCCGCATTGGATTGTGAAAACAATAACTAAAACAGATCCCAATCAACCAGCCACTTTTCACAGCAACCCTTGTGGGGCAACTTTTTTAGCTAACAGAAGTCAAGATCTCTTTCCAAAACTGGTTATCGTTAATGTCTCATTCCATGTAAATTCTTCTGTGATGTAAACAGTTCACTCCCCCTGCCTCCACCTTCACTGATAATAAATGTCCTCAATCACCAATGAACAAAACATATGTGATTTGTAGTATAACTGAAGGAGGCAACATAAATCAGCAGCTGAGCCCTGAAGCTCAGTGGCCAAAATAACATAGAAACTTCAGCATAAATTCACAAACCTTTATTCACTACAATACAAATGTATCCTACTCTCCCTGCCCTTCATCCACCCCGATGACGACCCTCAGCTCGGGTCCAAATCCGAATGTCCAGCAGCTTGGGACGTCCTCCCGACGTTAAAGGAGCTATACAAATTTAATTTGTGTTGTATTGTATCATTATTGTGAGACACAGTGCGTGTAAATACTGGAACACACAAACATTACCACTGAGAGACGGTATCATTGTAAAACAAGATCACCGTTGGAAAATGGAAGGTCTTACATAATACAAGACAAAAACATCATCATCAGTGTACACGATACATCACGTGTGTACATTTCAAGACAAGAGATTTCACTAACGGAAGATGCAACACATGCAATCTTTGCAACACAGGGGGAACAGCAATGGGGACGCAGAGAATTGCACATTGTACAACACACAACAACACAAAGTGTCATCACTGTGGGGCACAGTGCATTACAAAGCATCACAAAGCATCACCACTGGGAGATACATAGCATTACATATGATGGCCGAAAAGCATCACCAACTGGAGATGGACACTGGGAACCATGGAAATATTTCTGCAGTGAGAACTTATTTAATTTTGCAACACTGCATGAAAATATTCCATTATTAACTACACTGGAGTGTTTCAACAGTCGTCACTGTCATGTGTAACACTCACCGCGAATTACAGGGATACAAGTAATACCTAATAAACATTGTCATGCAAAACATAATGTATACTCAATACATAAGGAGTAATTTAGCCCTTTTAATTACGGTACAGCTACAACTTTACATAGCTCAATCCTGTTAATTGGAGTGATCAGACAGATAACTAGCATCAAAATCTTATTTAGCACACCTGTCCTCAAGNAAAAAAATCAGTATGAATTTTAAATTATTCAGAAATTAATTAGCAGCACTGGTTAAATGGGTACGTTCACTGCCAAGTGTGATACTGAGCCATAGGTCCCAGGTTACCAAGTTACTAAAGTTGGGTTCAGCATCCCCGAGACAATGAGAGGGAAATAAACTCAAACAGGTGATTGCCAGATAGGAAGTGTGCAAGTGTGAACATTGATACAATCGGGCTTGACTGTGATGCTTTTATTGGTCACGTAGCCAGCTGACACCGGCATTTCACGTGAAAATGGTTAAGATACAATTACCTGCCGCGTTTTGCACACAAATATACGGTCAATTCACTTTACAGTCTATTCTGTGAAGCACTTTGAGACGTCGAGAAGACATAAAATGCACTATATCAAATGCAAGGATTACTATTATATACTAGGGGGTCTGTGTACTTATGGAATTTTACCCCCGAACACTTCAAATGAGGGGTAAAAGGCAAGAAAACTGAGGGTTGGAGTAAATAATTGAAGCTTCTTATAATACCGGTTCAATAGCAAACTACTGTAAGATTATATTTGTGATGTTTAATGTTTTTTAAGGTGTTTAATGAATCTTTACATACCTTTAGAATGTAACCTGCCCATAATCCTTCAATAAGGTTTGTTTGATTTAATGAGGAGCTTAGCACGGGTTAAAAGTAGCTTGCTGGACCGGTTGAGGTCAGCTTCTGATTAAAAGGCTGCAGCCTCAGACACCTGCCTATCTCAAGGCTGAAAAGCAAGCAGGCTGTGGAAGGCTGCCTAGAAGTTGTCCATATCTCTCTCTCTGCAAAGCAGCCTGCGAAGGGTGGGGGCTATCTCTGTGACCAGGAGAGGTGGAGTTAGAAACACATAAAAGAAATATGTAACTTTGAAATAGTTGGGAGTTGTGTAGAGGGACTTCCCAGTGGAATTGATATTGATTTTACTATATCTATGCTCTCAGTTTTAAAAATAGGTTAAGCTATTGTATTACTTAATAAACCTTAGATTATTACATCACCGTATTGGTCATTCCCATCCTAATCTCTTTCACCAGCCATCAACTTGCAGCACATGAATATAAGAACAGTGAGTATCAAAAGCCAGAACGCTTTCTCTTTTCCTGTTATACCCAGATCTACTAATAGACAACTGCACATATACTTAGTGAGCAGGGAAGGACATACGTTACCTTAAATCAGTAAAATGATTACTCAGTGCCTGATTCACTGTCTGGATGTTTCTTAACATTGATTACATTCAATCCACAATCCCAAACCTTGTGGTCACCAAAACAGCAGCCCCAGCGTGACCTCATTCAATCCAACAATCCACATCCAACAGTGAGTCTCAAATCCAATAATGGAAAACAATTAAATGCAAATGTTTCAGGGTCCACTTCACGTTTCTCTCATTCAAAGCGCAGCCAGTCCTGGCTGAAACACTGGCGATGTCCAAAGAGTAATGGCATTTTTTTCTTCGGGAAGCTGTTCAAACTGGGTAACAGACAAGGCTATGACCTTGGGAAGGAAATGACGTCAGGAAAATTCAAAGAGTGAGAGAAATTTGGGTCTCCTTCTGCTGCAACCTGCTACAAATGGATCACTGATCAACCGGATAGTTATAAAAAAAGGAATAAGTCATAAAACCTTTGGCAAATTATTTATTAAAGCTGATTGATGCATTAGACTTTTACGTTAGGCAGAATTTATTATTTTAATTTTGAGAGCTGTATTGATCCAGAGCACTTCACCATAGATTCCGACACAGGAAGCCCATTCAGAAAGGATATAATTGGTTATGAACAGCATCATTGTCTGCGTTTTCAGTCACCAATTATCCAGTCCTCACTTGAGGTTTTGAAGGGCTGTCTGTCCCTGGAAAGATGGGGGGGTGGGGAGAGGAGCTCAGTGTCATTTACTGGTGTTGAAAAGTCACCAAGTTAAACATGCTGCTGCAGCCATCTCACACTTCCATTACAAGAAAGTTGGGGTTAATAAACTTAAAAGAGAACATGGGTAACGTCTAGGATGAATTAATGCAAGTAACTCACCAGTTACAGCACAAGCAGTTAGGGAAAAAAAGGTTTTAATGGAAGTCACTGAGAATTAATAGGAGTTGGCACAGGATTCAAAACTCTGC